GGAGGTCATGGTAAGTAGTTTGTAAAAATAAAAAGTAATTATCACCAAGCAAATGGAGAAAAAACGACACAGAAAGGAAAAGTGAACACAAGTGAACTCCAGCCTGTGTAGACCAACCAGGCAAAGGGGCTGTATTTTTGTTGATTTGGGTCTTGGTATTTTAATTACTGCAGTCCAAAGAGGACATTTTGGGCTTTCATGAAAGTATTTAAAACAAAACCACTCTGTGAGACACAAATAGCTCCAATGGATTGTAAGATATAGGAAAATTACAGAATGTCTGCAAATTCACCAAATGTTTTTTTCTTTCCTTTGAGACAGCGTTTCTCTATGTACTTTTGGTACCTGTTCTGAAACTTGCTCTGTAGACCAGGCTGGCCTCGAATTCAGAGATCCACCTGCCTCTGCCTCTGCCTCCTGAGTGCTGGAACTAAAGGCATGCACCACCGATGCCCGGCTCCCAAATGTTTTTCAACAGAAACCACCGAAAACCCCATTTGCAGAAAACCGTTTGTCTATACTTGCTCAGTCCTTGTACAGAACGTGAGATACTCAGATTCAGATCAACGTCATAAAGGTTTTTCAGGAACTGGGGAGCTGGCTCAGTGGAAGCACAGCATGGGGTAGGAGTGGATATATTTTTTTGGCAGCTAGTTCACAAACCTAAACACATTTCCTGAAGTAATGAATCTGTTCTGTGGAAGCTTTCTAAGGTTCAAGAAAACGGCACCTTCCATATTAGATAGCATGTTCTCCTCCAACACAGCATGTCCTTTCTTTGGATTAATACTTCCCAAGGGTTTTGAAAGGACCCCCAGGATCCACTGGATCTTCACAGGGGATGAAGAATCCTCCACTTTCTTAAACTCTCTATATAAAGATTCCCCACACCCCTCTTCTCCTTTTGAGACAAGATCTCACTACAAAGACTTGACTTGGCAGGGAATTCACTGAGGCCAGGCTGACCTCAAACTAAAAGGAATCCACCACCGTATCTAGCTCTAGATGTATTTCAGCATTTTTTTAAAAAAAAAAAACTTATTTATTATGTATACAATATTCTTTCTGCGTGTATGCCTGAAGGCCAAAAGAGGGCGCCAGACCTCATTACAGATGGTTGTGAGCCACCACTTGGTTGCTGGGAATTGAACTCAGGACCTTTGGAAGAGCAGGCAACGCTCTTAACCGCTGAGCCATCTCTCCAGCCCCTCAGCATTGTTTTTCTTTCAGAGAAATATAACACGTGGGAGAATAAGAAAAATAAATGGCAAGATTCCGTATTGAAGACACCTGTTAGATGCAGACCAGAGAAACCGACTTCAACCATCCAGGAAATTTTCTCCTTGCTAACTAGCTTACAGTGTCAGATGGTACTATGCAAGTTGTCGGGCAAGAAAGGCTATCAGTGGTTGAACCCGCACTGGAATAGGCATGATATCATATTGAACTCCCTAGCAAGCTAGGGTTGTTACTGAGGTGGGCTCAGTAAAGGCATGGTGCTTATGAGGATAACCAACCATATTCTAGTTAGATATGAAGCTTACTCCAAAGGAGGGAATTCATGCCTGGTACTGTAAACCTAATCAAAAGCCAAGAAAGGTCACTGGCCCTAGGGAGGAACCTTGTTTTATTAAACAGCTATACTGTCAAACTGCCTTCTCAATAGTGTTTATACGCATGGGTTTACGGTGATCTCAAGGTTAAAGGAGCATTGCAGAAAGGCGGGTGGGAAGAAACAACTGGCCAATAGGGAGAAGTAAGAAATACTGAATGCAGAGTATGGAATGGCTGATGCACTTACCTACGCACAGCTGTTGTGATTGCCCGCACAAAACCAAATGAGTCAAGATTCCAGCATAGATGGTCCCACCCTTGGCAGAGAAGCTATAAGTAACTGAAGGCTGATGAACTAGAGTCACTCTGCTTTGAGGACATGAATGCTGAAAGAGCTAAGGGGGAATTGGGAAGGAGGTGGTGGTGCATGGATAGAAAATATACGTGTGAAAATTTTGAAGAAAAATATTTTTACAAAACAAATGACATTCTTAGTGTGGAAGCTACTTTTCATTCAATTTTGAAACGTGTGAGACCAGCTCATGTACCCAGTTGGCCTACAACTCACCACCTACTTACTTCCACTCCAAACTGCTACCATTACAAGGGTGCAATCCCTCATCTGGGATATATGGTACTGGGGTCTGAACCCCAGGTTTGTACATATCAGGTTAAAAAATAAGAAAGATCTACCAACCAAGCTACAGCGTTACACAAATGCCATACTATAAATAAGAGGACTATGGCTAAAATAATTGCTCAAGAGTGCTAGAGATATAGGTCAGAGCAACCCCGAGTCGTATCTAGCATGGGTAAGGCCCTAGGTCCAAACCACAGCAATGTGGGAAGAAAAAGTAAAGTTTTACCACTCAGCTTTGGCCATCTCAACAAGCTCCCCACATCTGCAGTCCCACAATCAACTACCACTCCTCCCAAGACCTGCCAGCTTGGGAACTTACAATGACACTCAGTAATGAATTCCAAGTGCCATGCAAGCGTCTGCAGAGCAGGTACATTACAAACATCAACAAGCACAATGCTTCCTAGAGATGGCCCAGAAAATGGCTTGGTGAAAGTCCCTTCACTTTAAAACTGTACTCCATGTAACAAATGATGAAGTGATGGTAAGCAGGGCTTATGTAAACATGCGCTGAAAGCATGAAACAAAAATAAGAACTCCACATTACCTCACTTTCTTCTATACTGTTGGTATTTACAATGACCTTATTCTGTATTTCCAGGCTAACAATTGGACAACTACAATTTGCAAGCCTGGCTAGAATGGTTCCCCAATCTTGGAGATGTCAATCTACATCTTAGTTCTTGCAGAATCTGTAAACACCAAGGTTCCATAGCAGAGAAATGCTCACAGGTGACACCTATGCAGCTGACTTTCAGATAAGGAGGCTATCTTGGAATGTTGTCGAGCAAATGACATCACACAGATGTGTAAGGGCACCAGAAGTCAGAGGTGGTAGCATCAAAGTGGGCCTCTCCTTTGCCTTTAAATACGGGGAAGTGACTAGGAGCTAAAAAATAAAGTGCATCTTAAAGCTAGAAAAGGTAAGGAAGTGGATACTCTAGTGTGATGGCTATTCTTGTCAACTTGACTGCATCTGAAATTAAAAGTGGGTGGGTACATACACCTATAAGGGATGTTCTTTTTAATAATTTAAAGTGGGAAGACCTACTTCTATTCTGTATCTTTTGAGTTGTGTAGTGGCATTTCATTTGTATTTTAATAAAGGTTGCCTGAAGATATGAGAAAACAACCCCACTATTCAATCTTTACAGACAAGGTAGTGGTAACACACACCTTTAATCCCAGTAGCCACACTAATTTGCCACAGAAATCGGGTGCTGCACACTTTAATCCCAGCCCTGGAGAGGATTATAAAACAGGAGGAAACAGCTCTCAAACACAGTCTCATTCTGAGATTACCAGAGGCAGGATCGCCATTTCGGATTGAAGTCAAGGTAAGAGCCAGTGGCTGGCTGCTTGGCTTCTGTGGTCTTCATCTTGAACCCCAGTATCAGTCTCTGAAATTTTATTAATAGTGCTTCAGAAATCTCTAACCTGTATCACACTCTTTGCTTGCTTGCTCACTGAAAAGTCCATTCCTTCATTTGTCATTAGAACTCACTTCCCTGGCAATTCTGACAGCTCAGAAGACCAACAGACTTACCTAGTCTTGTATATTGAACAATTACTGGATTCTTGAATCTACCACTGGTAAACAGACATTGTTGGATTAGCTGGATTACAGCCTGTAAACTATTCTAATATATACCATTCTTTAAGTTCTGTACCTTTGGAGTACCCTAATATACCTAGATTCCCCAACAGGGGCACACCCTGTGGCTACCTCCCTTATATGTGTGACATTTTGAACTGCAGAACTGCAATGAGCGGTTGTAGCTGCACCGAGGCAGCCACATCACAGCAGGGACAAATGAGCGCTGGTGTTCGGGCACGTGGCTAACATACACTAGCCAATCTGTGAACAGATGTGTGGGCATACAGTTATCTTGCTATTCCTGTTTGAGTTAGATTGCTGAAAAGGGGTTCAGGAATGCTGATGGGACAAACAGAAAGGCTATAAATGCTTTTGCTTCCCTCTCCAGTTTTAGAGCACAACTATTGAACAGACTGTAAAGGAAAGCAAAGCTTAACTGGGACTCCAACTCTGATTATAGCAGTCTAACCTTGGACAATTTCCCAGGTTCCAGATTCTTACATTCTTAATCAACTGTTCACCTATCAAGGCTGCTCAAAGATCGCATGAACCAAGAACATTCAATACAAGACCTGGCATCTAGGGCTCAAAGCAGCTATCTTTTTCCATTCAAAAATCCCCTTTCTTTTTACGTGTACCTTAGAAAACAAGTCAGGTGTCAGGTGGACCCAAAAACCACACACATCAGGAAAAGCAGATTTCCTGACACATGTGGAGTAAGTAACCCATGACTTCACAATCTCACAATAATGTAAACAATGATTAGCCTTAGGATTGGTCTTGTGTAAGACCTTTCTTTTCCCTTGCAAGTTAACTTCCAAAAAAAGTAGACCAAAGTTAAAAATACTTTATTTAAGTGAAAACCCTTCACTTTAGAACTTTCATGATGATAAACTTTAGAGGCAAAGATGAAAGAAGTCTACTGTAATCCTTGCAATTCAGACAAAATGTTTGACTGTTATTTTCTCTAGAGAGAATAGCAAGGTTAATCCAGTTTCAAAAACCTGGTAACGCCCCTTTAAGTACAATTTTCTTAATTTTGTGGAGTTCCTGGCATTCTTATTCATGGGTACAAGTAGGCAAGAACACTGATTGCTCTTGATTGGGTCTCAAGTGTTTTAACATCGTCTGGCAGCTACTGCTTTGTAAATTTTAAACATCAGCACAGGCTGTATTTCAGGGTGTGGGTAAGTTTAAATACGAAAGAACAACAGTCTCATGTATTTTCTATTTCAAGTCAAACTGGTATATTCAATTTTACAGTTGCCCTACAAACAAAATCATTTTACAAAAAAAAATTTCAAAATACATTTCACTTAAAAGTTCTGCAGTTTTACAATGATTACTGAGTCCTGTATAACAAAGTTTGATCATATATAAGTGTTCAGAATCATAATAGCAACTAAGTGGATAACTGCAAAGCTCCCTGCTGGCAGGTCTACGTACTAGTCTCTTTAGAAGTGGTACATCAGACTGAAAACCAACCATTCCCTGCTGGTCATGTCTGACACTGTGTCTACACATCCTTTCGGGGTAGAAGAACAATGAATGTCTCACGGAAAAGAAGCTTTGAGGAACCTCTCACTACTGAATTTCAAATCACACACACAAAGCAGGTGAGAAATTCTTTTATCATATTTAGAATCAAAATATCCCTTAAAATATTTACATTTTACAGTAAAAAGGATAGCAAAACACAAGATCATGTACAAGCTTAAGTATTCAAGTTTCTGAAGAGCCAGAAGGGAAAGGAATATGGCCTACCACAAACTACAGGACATGGTAAGAAATGCCTTCAATGAGTACAGATTAAAGCAATAAGTGGACTCCTTGGGCTTCTGATTCATGGTCAAAAATTGCCCAACTAGATGATTAATATGGTCTGATTATGAAGTCGCTTGGCTTTTTTGTTGCTCCTCTACATTTTCCTTAAAAACAGTGCAATTGAAAACAAATGTACAGAGCACAGGTTACTTTCAAATTAGTCATTATATAAAGGACATTCACTAGAGGCAGTAAATATATTTCATAGTTAACCATATTTAACAATTAAGGAATAAAACTAAAATTTCTAAGCCTTTATTGCATATTAATAAAACAATCTTTGAATATACAGCATTGTAAAACTTTCAAAAATATTAAATTCCTGGAAGTAGGATGGTGGATGGTGGGCACTGTGCAGACCTGCTCCAGCAGCTGACTGCTCTGCAGACCACCAAGAGGAAAGATTTAAAAGGTGGAACAGTCCTACCAGGCGATCTTATAAAGATACACAACATCTAATAGTTTTTTAAATGCGACGTTGAAGCAGCCTGCAAATTTCACCTTTTGCTTTTTGCTCTGTCAGTATGGTCCCTGTCTTTATGGTACCTCTCTCTGTCCTTCTCCCCTTCTCTATGCTTATTCTTCTCTCGTTCCTTCTCCTTTTCATGGTCCGGTTTCTTGTCTGCATTCTTACTCTCTCTGCCTATTTTTCCATCTGTCGCTCGATCACTATGTGATGCCCGTGCCCGTTCCTTATGTCCTTCCTCTTTGTTTTTCCTGTCTCTGTCTTTTTCTTGGCTTCTGTCTCTGTGTCTGTGTCTTTCAGAGTCTTGCTCCCATTCTTTGTCATGACGCTCTCTTTTCAAGTGGTGTGAATCACTGTAAAATCTCTGGCGGTCCCCTTTACCCCTATTGAATGGCCTGTCTAGTTGTTGTTGGTCTTGCCTACCCCAAGGGTCACTATGGCGCCTTTCTGGTCTCCGTATGTCTTTGACCTGATAAAAATTTTGTGGGCCCATATACCTTGATGCTTGTGAAAGCGGCCCCATCATTCGTTGAGGTTGGCCTGGGAGATGAACAGGTGGCCAAGGAACCATAGGGTTTTGAGGAAAACCAAAGCCTGGAGGGGGAAGTAACGGAGGTGGCAAATGTGGTGGAAATCCAAACACACTTTGGGGAGGGAAGTTTGGAGGTCCTGGAAATGGGAACCCAGGAGGACTAGACTTGAGATGCTGGAGATTGGGCTGCTGTGGCCTCACAGGTGAAAAGTTTGCACTTGCCCTGGGGCTGGTACTCCTAGAAGTAAAGTTGATGCTTTTAGAAGGAAATTCTGACTGGCATGTACTTCCAGCTTCAAAATGAGATGATGCTGTAGTGGATCCTCTTCTAAATGGGTGAACGGTTTCAATACTTTGTGTTAAAATATCCTCCTGTAAAGGACTGGCTTGTTCTGTCTGTGAAGAATTTACGTTTTCCACTGAGGATGGGTTTTGTGTAGTCTCAGAATCATCATTCTGCTCTACACATGAGTTCCTCTCTATGGAAGACAGTTTTCCCTCCCCACTGATGGATTCTGCTAAGAGCTCTTTGCTGTGCGATGGACCAGGCAGAGCACTCTTGTCTCCATTTCGGCAGCTCTCTGCATCTTTGCTTTCTGAGGTTGTCTGCTGATTTCGTCCAGCTGCTTGCCTAGGGTCCCTTTTCAGATTGATAACCTGGGGGGGCCTTGTGTTAGCAACCACATTTTCACTGCAACTCACATTCCCATCTACGCTTCCCTTTCGAGTATCTTGCAAACTACTCTCTTGATCTTGGAGCAGCTGTCTTTTTAATGTTCTGTCTTTGTTCTCCATAGTTTCCTCATGTTTTGATGGAATTGATAAATTTGTTAAGAATGCTTCTGTAGAAACATCTGGTGGTTTCCCTCTCAGACTAAGACTCGCCAAAGGCCCTGGGGAAATGGAAGGGCAGCCCACTAATGAAGTGTCTTCTACTCCTGAATTTTTACCTATAGATTCTGAAATATTATCTGCTTTAACTTTTATCTCCTTGGCTTCACCTTCAGCTACTTCCACTTTATCTATTTTCTCTACTTTTGGGTTGGTTTGATCATCTATAAAAGGAATTTCTTTGACAGTACTTTGTTCTCCAGAAGGCTGAGCCTGCTCATACACTTGACCAGTGGTGCCCAAAAGGCTTTGGAGTATATCATCCACAGGAAGAGGCTTATTTGCTAATTCCAAAGTAGAGGGTTGATTTTCCCAGCCTATAAGGACCCCAGGAAGGAACCGCAAGGGTTTTGGCGGCTCTGGCTTATTGACTTCCAACAGAGGTTCGGTGGTTGTGGGCAGGTCTTCCTGCATCGGCTGAGGGAGCTTGTTTCTCTGCTTGTGCAGCACAGTTGTGAAGGAATTGAAAAAGTCATTCTCCTCCTCAGCGGTTTCCTCCAGAGATGAGTCCAGTTTACCCTTTTTGTCAGGTGGCAAGGCTACTGGGGCAGTCTCAGGAGTCTCAGCTGTGTGACTAGGACCAGCACTAGCGCTATGCTGCCGCTTCAGCTTCTGACGAATAATGAGGCCCAACAACAGATTAGGTCTGTGCAGTTCGAGTCCTGGAGAAAACAAACATCAACCATCATTTGCAATCAATTCCTAAAAGGGTACATTTCACAAGCAGTCCATTCCAAGCTACTGAACGGTGGCTAGCCCTGTCACGCCGTCTCTAATGGGTCTGAATCCTAAGACAGAAAGCAGCCATGCTTTTTTATTTGGACTGACCCCCCCTCCCACTTTTTTTTCAATCTTATTCTATTACCAAAACATGTACTTACCAGGTCCATCAAAAGGCACAAGAGGGTGTGGAATTTTATCTGCAGCACCCAAAGGAATAAGGTACATATCTTTAACCTGCTTCATGTTGTTAGCAGCTACGCCATAACGCTTTCTGCTACTGAAGTATGCAAACAGCAAAGTATAAGAAATTTGATCTTCTTCAGTTACTGGTGTGAAGCGAACCACACAGATTTCCTATTCAAGAGAGTAACAAACAATTACTTAAAATAATAATCTAAAATGTATCTTGATTTCAAATACAGTTTATTAATTAGTACTAATCTAATTTCGAGTTTTATGAAGGTCATCAAATAGCAGTCAAGTTAAATAGAAACTAGAATTCTAAAAGGAAACTTCTAAGAAAATACCCTTCCTGGTTCATTGAGGATTCTGTATTATTTGAAGACCTCCCATAACAAATTGAGACCGCATACACACCTATACTCCCAGGCACTTGGGGACTGAGAGGCAGAAAAATGAGAAGTTTAATTCCTGCCTGGGCCATTTAGGAGATGCTCATTTATGATAAAATATGGTCTATGCAAATAGCTCACTAGTAGAACATTTGCCTAGTATGAGTAAGGTAGGGATGCAGGGGAGAAAGGCCCAAGGCACTTGGATACAATGTAATTGTTCAAGGTCATACAAATTATCAGTGGCAAGGACAATGTTGAAACCCAAGTCTTTTGGTATCTGCACAATTCCTGCTTTCCAAAGATATAACCTCTAGAGAGCAGCCTGTATTCTGGGCACACTGAAATAATAGTGCCCACACTACTACCCAACAATGTCACAGAAGTTGGTCCTATTGTGGGAGATATATCCATGACCCCAGCAAATGTCTGAAATCACAGATAGCACTGAACATTATATAAATGTTCATTCCCTGCATGTACCTATGATCCCAATGATAAAGCTAATTAATAAATTAGAAACAGAAAGGCATACAGTAGTGGGAAAATATAATGTATTAAAATTGTTAGTATCACTAATTTTGTCTTGAGGCTATTAAATAAAATAAAAATTATCTAATGATGGAGACAGCACGTGGGTAGCACACACTGTCTGAAAGCTGGATGACTCACATCCTTGATGGACAGAGAGAGCAGAATGGAAAAATATTTTTCATCATATACCTTAAAACTAAAACCTCAGAGAGTGGAAAAAAGTGATAAATGAGGACTTAGATAAACACAAACATGCAAGTCTGGTATCCAGTCTACAGAGCCTAAGCACAGGAATTAAGGGGACTCGGTTTTGACAACACTCTAAAGACACATACACACAAACTCTAAGCTTTTAAGGTGATTGGCTAACTCAGTAATTTTGCTTCCCATTTCTGGGATTCTTGGATTTATTATAAATAAAAAGACAGTCATAATTTTGTATTGGAGGGCTCTTCTTAAAGATTTGCAGTCAAAAATGGCAAAGGCCTGCTTCACTACAATGCCCAATGACACAAAAACAAGAAATACATTAGTGAGCTAAGCTATGGCTCTGCCTCCTAGACATTAGATAGAGTTCTTACAACTCCTATCTGAAGATTCGGTATCAATGCTCTCAACTCTGAAACTTGGAAGGCCAACATTTAGAAAACTCCATACCTGTCGACATGTGATAAAATGCAATCAAAACATGGGTACTCTAAAAATATGGTATGAAATTACCTTCAGTCTATGCTTGTAAGGTTTATGTAACCCATAAATGCATTTCACATTTACACTTGAACTTCCATTCCGAAGGTACCATCTTACATATATGCTAACATTACAAAATTCGGAGAAGTTCAAAATCTAAAGCATTTCTAATCGATCATAAGCAGTTTGGATAGGGGATATCCAAAATGTCTTAGTAACATCACATTACATATAAGCTAAGTATTCTTGTGTTTAAACCAGTTCAATCTGAAGGCATGCTATAACGTACTGGGCAGTAACATACATCCCCATGCTTTCACAAACACACACACACATGTTAAATGTGTGTATGTGTATAAGTGATAGCAAACAATGCGATTCTGTCTATCTCTACCTCCCAAGCTTAGTAGCCTTTTACTTGCCTCAAAGTACTGAAACACAATAATCAATTTAATTAAAAAATCTATATGGGGGGGAGTGTTTAAGACTCTCCATTTTGGTTCACTTTAAAGAAAAACAAGAAACTTCTACAAAGAAATTATTTAAATTATTCATGTATATTACCATTCTCTATGAGTTTAAGAAACTAGAGAAATTATATAGAAAACCTGGAAGAGAAATATTACCATGATGGGGGCTACTGATTATCTCCTAGTTTATAGTCTCCTCTTTCTGTTACTAACAAACCTTAATTTTTGGCTGGCACTTGGGCCAAGTAGAGACCACATTTGCCAGTTTCCTTTGCAGTCACGCACAGCTCTTTGACTACGTTCATGTCAAGTGAATTAAAGAAAAAAAATTAAGTGATAACTGTAATTTCTCAGGTTTGCCTTTAAGAACAACTTGACAGACCAGATGGTGGTGGCACACACCTTTAATCCCAGCACTCAGGAAGCACAGGCAGACAGATCTATGTGAGTTTGAGGCCAGTCTGGTCTAGAGAGAGTTCCACGACAGGCTCCAAAGCTACACAGAGGAACCCTGTCTTGAAAAACATGAAACAAAAAAACCAACCAAACAAAAACCCTTGACAAATAGCCCTCACTTATCCCCACCAGTGGCTGACATGAGCTTGAACAATTTTGCCTAATGATGGCAAGCACTCCTAGAAACAATAAATGGACAGAAGCAGCCTGGTTCCCAAATGATCCTACACAACCAGAGCCCAAAGCCTTAAGCACCCTAACTGGTAAAGGAGGACTGGCTTCTGCAGTATCTGAACCCCTGGACAGAGAGTGCAGAGCTCACCTGCAGCCTGACTAAAACAGGGTAAATCAACACCTACTCTACCACATTTCCTTCCACAGTGCTGACAGAGCTATGGAGGACACATTCCAGAAGACAGGGACTAAAGGGAATGCTGCACCGCTTTGAGCAAAGGGCTTTACTTCAGTTTGCATATCCACATGTGTAGCCCACAGGTCAACCAAAGGGTCATTTCTAGGGAGCTGTCCTTACTGTTCTAAGAAACAGTATCTTACTGGGCCCTGCACTCTAATTAGCTTGGTATTTGGCCAGGCATCACAAGTCCGCACCTGTCTCCCCAGTGCTGACATCATCAATGTGCACCTCCACACTCTAGACTGTTACGTGTACTGGGAATTAAACACAGGTCCTCAGACTTGCATAGATGCCATTTTACCAAATGAGCTGTCTATCACCTCCAGGGCCCTTTACCTCCATTCTGTAATGCAGATTATAACATTTCAAACTTGTATTAGCTCCCTTCCCCTAAGAAACACCAGGCCCTTGTATAAAACACTAAGTAGTTTGATTCTGTAAACATTTCACATACTGGCATTTTTAAAAAGTTTACATACCTTGGTTCCTGAGGCTTTTATCTTTTCCACGTAATCCCAAACTGTCTGAGGTGATATCCTGCCACCTACTTGAATACTGTCTGGTAAGTCCTATGGTTAAAAAAAAAAAAATTCAACAAATATAGAATATCTTCATTACAATATCCATGATTCATACATATTTAGCTTTGAGAATAATTTGAAAAATAATTTGAAAAACAAATAAGTAAGGCTAAGAACATGGTGGTAGAACATGTACTTAGCATATAAGACTCAAGCTTCAGTTGATCTCCAGAACACACAGTGAGTAAAATTGCAACACAAAACAAAACACAGTAGAGAAATAGCAACAGATCTTATTTCAAATGCCAACTTCAAATAAGTAATACTAAAAATGAAGTTTACTAAAGAGGAAAATGTTAGATAAAAACATAAAATACAGTCTCAACACTAAGAAAGAAATATCCAAGGTCATGCCAGGTCAGAATAAACAAGCACAAGGAAAAGAACCAGCAGCCAAGACAGTGATATGGGATTTCCCTCTGGATGCTGTGATTACCATTGGTTAATAAAGAAACTGCATTGGGCCTGCACAGGGAATAGAGGTAGGCAGGGAAAACTAAGCTGAGTGCTGGGAGAAAAGGAGGTGGAGTCAGGGAGAAGCCATGTAGCCCCTCCCTGCCAGAGACAGTCACTGGACAGAACATTGGCAGGTAAGGCACAGCTGTGTGGTGATACACAGATTAATAAGATCAGTACACTCCTGGACACTCAGAGGCAGGTTTTCTGTTCTTCAATGGTTATCTGTGGTAGTGGGCAGGACAATTCTTTGCCTTTGGTTTTTTTGTTTTGTTTGGCTTTGTTTTTTTTTTTTTTTTTTTTTTTTTTTTTTGTTTTTTTGTTTTTTGAGTGAGGGTTTCTCTGTGTAACAATCCTAGCTGTCTTAGAACTAGCTCTTGTAGATCAGGCTGGCCTCCAACTCAGAGATTTGCCTACCTCTGCCTCTCAAGTGCTGGGATAAAGCCATGTGCCACCATTGCCTGGCTGTTTTATATTTTCAAACAGGTCTCACTATGTAAACCAACCTGGTCTCGAACTCATAGAGATCCACCTGCTTCTGTCTCCAAAGTGCTGGAACTACAGGCATGCACTACTATGCCTAGTGCTTCTTTTAACTTTTTTTTTTTTGAGGTATTCTTAATTATGAAGTTCAGATTTGATGCAACTTAATTACAAAGTATATTTTTGTAAAAAGAAAATTAACTCTAACAATGCAAAACATTTTTAAAATGTATAAGCACACACAAGGTATACTGCTATTATATATATATACATATATATATATGAAATTAATCAGACATTTAAAACTTTATTCAGTGTATTCGTTTTTTCTCTGAAGACCAAGGAAAATCATAAAAGTAGAATTAAGATTATTTAACTCATTAGTTGCTTTGACTATTTTGAGATTTTTAGCTCAAAAAAAAAACCAAACTAAAAAGCAGAAATGGAGTTAAAGAAAGTGAACTCATAGAAACTGTGGCATTCAGGAAAGCAGTTTCATTCGAAGTCAAAGGGTCTGGGAGTCTAGGACCAAATTGCCATGTAAAAAGAATTGCCTTAAAAATAATATAAAAAAAACCCTAAGAATTCAAGACTTTTTTTCCTTCAAAAGACCATCACTACCCCATCTAATTTTTCTCTAACAAAACTCACATTCCTAAAATATTATTATCCAAGTAAATTATGTAACAACAGCATTGTGAAGTAACTAAAAACAACAGTGATGTAAGAGTCTGTGGCTGTAGCTTGGTGGCAGAAGGCTTGACATACACACAGGGCCCTGGGAAGGGTACCTAGAACCACAAGGAGGAGATGGACTCAGGAAAATTTCAGCCTAATCAAAAGAAAACTCACCTTAACATTATAGAGAATGATCATATGATTTAGACTTGTTAAAATCTGAAATGAATTATTTAAATAACTGGCTTATGATTAGAAGACTAAGAATAAATGAAAAAGCTAATCTAACAAACCAGCAAAAATAATGTACATAATACATGTACACTGGCTTTGTTTCCTTTGATGTTGTTGTTTAATGTCACAGCTGGTCACTAATTACAGCATTACGCTACTACTATTTATTTTCTATTATTTAACATTTTCTTCCTTTGGATACACAACCAACCAAAGGCACCACTGCACTGATTAGTCAGTGGTCTCCTGAGACTGACAATTAGATGTAAGCTTTACTTCCCAGTAAAACAGACAGGCAAATACTCCGGTCCTGAACATAAACAGTGTAGGAATTCCATTTTTTTTTTTTTTTTTAGCAATTTAGAGACTTTTCTCTTAGGCTACCTTTGCCATAAACATGCAAGTCTTTTATGCAAATCTCTACTTAAAAACAAACTTGGATAATCATGGAGACACAATGGTTTTTAACTGTCTCAGTGAAGTGCATTTTAGAAAAAGTAAGGCATCTAAGTTTAAAACTTTCAGGATACAGTTTTCTACCAGTATGCAAATTCATTTGTGAATTAATAATTTATAACTGTTTTAAGGATCATTAATAAATGGGCTTTTAACAATTTAAATTATTATTAACTGTATGTCTCCCTGCCTACTGCTTTCAGAAACACAACCCAAGTAAGGAAAGGCAACAAAGTTCACAGTACCTCTGTCAAGTACTCAGGGGATCCAGACACAGGGTAGGCTTTGGTAACAAACTTTGCCACACTTGGCATATTGATAAAACCTTTCCAGATGAAGTTCAATCGAGCCAGGAAGGTAGACTCAACTTCAACAGTTCCAGGCATCTCTGGACTAGAACAGGATACTAAAGTTAGCAACAAAGTCATTCATATGACTCTATGGGTAAAGACACTTGCTACCAATCTTGAGGGCCTGGGTTCAATCCCTTGTACCCACATAAAGGTGGAAACAAAATTAACAAACCAAGTTGCCCTTTAACCTCCACATGAGTGTTGTAGCACATACACACACAAACAAGTACAGTAAATAAAATGCCCAGAAATGAGTCAATTTTCTACATAGTTATTGAAAGCATTATATATCAAGAATATGATCAATAAAAATAAGTATAAATAAAGGTCAATAAAAAGAAAAGCTATCAATCCATAGAAATCTACATTTTCAATTTATAAGATCCAAAACTGTGCAAGCATAGAGCAAGTGCTGTATCCCGTACTTCTTGGGACCAGCATATTTAAATCATTTGCTTCCGGTTTAGCTATAAAGAGTCACTTTTTACTTTATGTGTATGAGCATTTGCCTATGTACCATATGCATGTCCATGGAGGCCAGAGGAGGGTGTCAGACCTTTTGGAACTAGAGGTACAGATGGTTCTAAGCTGACCTCTGGGAGAGCAGTCAGTGCTCTTAAATGATGAGCCATAATTAAAATCTGAAAGTTGTAACTTCATACTCTCAAGTCTCTTAAATCTAAAATCCATTCAAAATAAATTAACTTTCAGAGTCCTGTTCACTTATCTCACTTGGCCCGAGTATAACAGATACTTTCTCACAAGTCCCTGAAAGTATGCCACTTTTCTATTTGTAAAAGGACAAGTGAGCAACGGTTACAGAACTATGACTGAGAGAGCGCTACCGTGGCGTAGGAGAGAACGTTGATTTGGGAGACTCCTGTTTCTCTTCCTCAAAGAATTCTGAAGCCAGAATAGTTGTAGTTGAAGACAAGGCATCTGCTATACTTTCTGCTTCGTTGTCCGAATGTTTGCGAGCTCCTCCCACAACAACTTTCACGGTTTTTGGAGAAAGATCATCTACAGGTGGTGCCATTCGACCTGAAGCCACAAGACACCAAAATATGCTTGTTATCTGAAATTTTAAAATGTTCATTCAGTTTAGTTTCTAAAGGGATTTCGTTTCTTTGGCTCAATTATTGAGTAAAGATTTCCTGAGGCAATATATACCTGCAATGTTTTCTCACACCAAGTTATTACACCTATTCTCAGAACCAATAAGGAACTGTTCCAGAGGACAACTCCCTCTTCCACAGAGACCTAAACTAACCGAAATGCAACTCCCAGCACACTGTGGAAGATTCTACCTGAACTAACCTAACACCCCCTTTGACCATCTTATAAAACATCACAAGTAAATGAGGAGTTGATGATATATATCTGTCCTCACCTATGAATGGGAAAAATCAGCAAAACAATGTTAACTAATCAAGCATAGAGGCACATGCCTTTCATCCCAGCACTAGGGAAATAGAGGCAGGAGGATCTTTCTGAGTTTGAGGCCAACCTGGTCTACAAAGCAACTTCCAGGACAGCCAGGACTGTTACCCACGGAAACACTGTCTCCAGATAGATAGATAGATAGAGAGAGAGAGAGAGCGAGAGAGAGAGAGCGCGCGCAATGTTAAGCTACATAACATGAACGACATTGTAGTTTAGAAAATGATACAAATGTGGGACTATAGCACGTGAAAGGAAAAACAAACTCAAACATTCTGAAAACAGGCATGTCTAGTCATCCAACAAATGCTCCCCATGCGCTACTGTAAATTTACATTTTTGTGCACATGGAAAGGCATGGCTATGCCTGCTTTTGCATTTGTAAAATGGACTAATCTCATTGAACAGGAGCAGGTAGATGCTGCAGCACCCAAGCTGGGAAAATAAAACCTACCCCAATTACAAAGACAACTACAGAAATACCCCTTAAACAACGAGTGTAATACTGGAGAAGGCAAAACTCCCAACCTATGCATATTTTGCAGTTCAGATCAAAGAGATGCTGTCTGTGTTGACTGGTGGTATCTTTAGATGTGGAGTCAGACTCTTTTTGTTTTTCAGATCCTTCTGGCTTCTCCAATGACTTATTGGCTGAAGGTTCCTAACATAAGTGAGAATAAAAATAAGATTTAGCAATAAAATCTGGTACTGATTTTAAATGTCAACTTGCTATTTCATAAACATAAACATATTTCATTTCCAAAGTGAAGCCATTATGTTTATAAGGTTCTGACTCTCTTAAGAAAAAATAACAGCTGCGAATGGTAGCACACATCTTTAATCCCAGCTCTGGGACAGCCAAGGCTATTTACACAGATCCTGCCTCAAAAAACCAATAAATAAGTAAAAGTAAGAATTAGCATTTATTACTTCGAGCAAAATCTCAAAACAACTCAAAGCTTTTAATCAGTCTTCAAATTATTTTTTCCACTGGTATTTGAAAACAAGGAAATTTGAAATAAAAATGTCTACATCTTGACCTACTTCTCATTTTTTATTATACAAGAGAAAATAAATCTTAATCTAGTTAAAGAAAAGGTGCAATTACTCTCAAATTACACTATTTACCAATCCAGTAAAACAGACTCCTTTAAAATCCACAATTTAAAAATAATGTTCTGCTTTAATAAGACAAGTCTTACCCCATCTTCATGTTCTAAGCTACAGATAGGACACATCTGCTCTTTACCTGTATCTCCATGGCTGCTTCCTGTTCTTTCATTGGGGCATCACTCTCAATTTCTATCTCCCCTTTATGAGTTATTTTTGTGATCGGTCGTCTTTCCACTTCTCTTTGCTCTTTCTCAATCATCTCTATAGTCTAACAGAAAACATTTTAAGAAATATTTAAAGTATGTGCTTTAATAATGTACTTACTTACCTAATAATTTTACATAATAAATTTATAGCTTCTCTCATAGAAAATACAAATAAACACTGTAAAATATAGAATTCAACTCTATAATATAATATAATATAATATAATATAATATAATATAATATAATATAATATAATATAATATAGAATTCAGTCATGAGAGGCTCACATTAACATATGAGATAGTGTATGGGCGGGGGTGTCAAATAGAGCAAGGAGAAGTAAGGAGTGCAAAGGTCTGTCCATCTATTCCTTGTTTGTTAGTTGTAAAATATAGATAAGAAAGTCAGATAGGATCAGTAAGATTGCTCAGAAGGTAAAGGCTCTTACCAAATAACCTGAGAACCTCAGTTTGATCCCTAGAATCCACGGAAAGGCAAGTGGAGCGATCCGCTCACAAACTTGTCTTGTGACATTCGCAAATAAAGGTGCCCTGGCACACCGCCATTCCCCATTTATCATACACACAATAGCACCAAATAAAACAACTAAAAAAAAAAAAATTCAAGCAGAAAATCCAAGAAAAGGAAAACTGGTCTCCAATGCATGGGCAGTCAATTTTAAAACATAACTTTGGCAAGTGTGTATTTAACATGCGGAGAGAAAGATGATGCTAACATTATTTTCAAAATAAAGAAGAGGCAAGATTATGTAAGAATAAAGGAAAAAAAGTGATGTACAAACAGATAGGGTACTTCATGAAGGCCTCGTGACCTTCAGACCACTGTTGACAGCGACCAAGAAGGGTTAATGTGCCCATGATGAAAGCAAGCATCATGTTGTGTAGGAGGCCTTTCTGTATTTGTGTTGCTTTCATTGGTTATTAAAGAAACTGCCTTGGCCTAGTTGATAGGGTGGAACGCAGATAGGCAGGGAAGACAGAAGAGAATTCTGGAAGGAAGAAAGCAGAGACAGGCAGACGCCATGAAGCTCTAATTCTATAATCCGCTGACCAGCAAAAAATGAAAGAAAAAAACTAGAAAAATGTATAGAACAAAAAAGGCAATAAAAAAGGAAAGTCCTACAGTAGGATATAAGAATTTAAGAAACAGGCTGAAAAGGCTCAGTAGTTAGTTAAGGGCACTTACTCTTGCAAAAAACATGTGTTCAGTTCCCAGAACTACATGGAGGCTCACACGGGACCCAAAACTGTGCTGGTTAGTTTTATGTCAACCTACAGTCATCTGAAGAAAGGGAACTCCAATTGAGAAGATGCTTCCACAAGATCAGGCTGTAAGCAGACAAGCCTAAATGCATTTTCTTTACTAGCAATCAATGGGAGAGGGTCCATCCCATTATAGGAACACAATGTGGGGGACACCCCTGGCCTGAAAGTCCTGGGTTCTATAAGAAAGCAGGCTGAGCAAGCTAAAATGAGCAAACCAGTAAGCAGCTCTCCTCCATGGCCTCCGTCTGCATCAGCTCCTGCTCCAAGGCTCCTACACAGTTTTGAGTTCCTGCCTAGTCTGCTCTCAGTGAACTCCAACTCAGGATAAACTCTTTCCTCCCCTAGGGCTTTGGTCCTGTTTTTTCATCATAGCAAAAGAAACCTTAAAACAGACACCCTCTTCAGACAGTGCATGCATGTGAAACACATACAAGCAAAAAGTTCATACATAAAATAAAAATAACTGAATCGTTTTTAAAAGGTTAAGAAACAAAGGAAGCTGAGCACAACGGCACATGGTAGTCATCTCAGCACTTAAAATGCTTAGGTGAGATCACTCAACCCTAGGCAGAATATAAGGTCACCCTGAAACACTGGGGAACATGACAAAAGAGGAGAAGGGAGGGAGAAAAGAAAAATGGAGAGATGGGAGAGAATAGGTGTTAGAAAACAAAGCCTGTTTTACTTGCACTCTGTACTGACTGATCTTTGTAAAGTTTGCCCCATGGTTAAAAAGCAAAGACTTTGATAGCCAAGCCAAACACAGAGTTATGAATGTCCTTACGTGTCTGTTTTCCCTTCGTCTCCACGCAGCTAACTCTTTAGAGGCTAGTTCTTCTGGACTCATTCTTATAAGATGATCAGGGGTTACTTCTCCTTTTAGTACTTTTTTAAATAATATCTACAGGATTTTAAAATGAGAAGGAGACACAAACATTTAGAAACAAAAGAGCTTTTTCATGTGTGAACTTCTAATAAGTAAACTTTGAAGCAACTTTTAAGTCTGATTTATAAACATTCATAATTTATATATAACCTAGTACACACAGCCTAACAGCTTTGTATTCTAGAAGAGTAAAACACTTCCTATATAAAATTCAACTTATGCCGGGCAGTGGTGGCGCACGCCTTTAATCCCAGCACTCGGGAGGCAGAGGCAGGCAGATCTCTGTGAGTTCGAGACCAGCCTGGTCTACAGAGCTAGTTCCAGGACAGGCTCCAAAGCCACAGAGAAACCCTGTCTCGGAAAAAAAAAAAAAAAAATTCAACTTGATGCCAATTGGTGTCCACACCTGTAATGCCCACAGTAGGGTGGAATGTTCAAGGACAACCTCAGCTACAGCTTGCTACACTGTGACATTCTGTTACAGTTCTGCTCCACCCCACTCCACCCCCCCCCCAAAAAAGAAAAGAAAATTCGTGTAAAAATTAACAAGAAAAAACAAGTGCAATGAAATTATCATACAGCTGTCCAAAAACTGTATTAAGTCTAACCCAGGACGAATTATAATAATCACCCACTGTATAGTGATGCACTGAATAAAAACAGCTTTTATCACTGTAATAACTTCTGTTTTTAAGACATTTATCCTTGAATCCTGGCAGGGCTGAGTGGAAACTATAGCAAAGTACCAACTGAGAGGAAAAACAGTCTTCATTTGATTACTGAGAAGTTTCTAGATTATATATTTCCAAGAGTTCTTGGTCCATGACAGATTGTACAACGTAAATTTTCTTCAATAGGTGTAACTTAATATTTCAATCAAATACAGTTGTCCATAAACATTAGGGAGATTGGTCCCAGAAACTCCCCCAATACCAAATCCTCAGATGTTTAAACTACCAATGATGATACACTACTATTTGCATCTAGCCTACATACGTGATCCCATATATAGTTGTGTGTGACCTAACATTTCAGTCTACAATAGTCTATCCAAATAATAATATACAATTTTAATGCTTAGTGACAGAAGATGACTTAGCTGCCTTAGTCTATGCAAATATATTCCAATGTGTACACAATAGCAAAATCACCTAATGATGATCTTTTTATACTGCATCAGCATTAAGTGTCACATAAGTATAAACTATCTCTTTATTTACTTACAATATCTAATACAATGCTAAGAGCCGTGTACAGAGTTGTTACACATATTACACAGGAAATAACAACTAGAAAAATAAACCTATATATGTTCAGTACCTGTTCTGATGGTGGAAAAGAGATGCAGAAATTCACGAGTACTAAGGGATGACCATGTTGCAACAAACATTACTATGCAAACTTACATAACTGATATGAAAGCTCTTACACAAACAGATTTAGTTTAATTCTATAACCTAGAGTCATCTTTAGCACAAAATTTTCAATGGCTCTATGTAAATCTAATACACAAAATAATCAATCTTATTTATACTTTGAACTCTGAAAGTGTTCACTACCTAACTTTTGCTTAGTGCACACAGCAAAGAACTTTCTGTGTATAAACACATACAAATACACATATATACACACATATAAAACACACATACACAGAGCTTTAAGACTTTTGCTAAGTCTCAAATAAGAAATCCCACAAGAAAACTAAGAGATCAATAATGTTTATGCCACATTTAAAAACATATTTTTTAAAAAATTCTATTTCATTTGGTAAAATTATTTCAAATACTTTTCTCGGGGAAAGGGGGTACTGCAAGTTGTTCAGTAATTCACAGCTTAAGTGAACTTTCTGCCTTTGATTCCCTAGGCAGCTGTAAAGTCAAACATGTGCCATCATGCATAGATTTTTGTTTTAAGTTTATAACTAAATGTGACTTGGGATTTTAGTGATTTTAGGCTTGCCGGGTAGTGGTGGTGCATACCTTTAATCCCAGCACTTGGGAGACAGAGGCAGGAGGATCTTGGTGAGTTCGAGGCTAGCCTGGTCTACAAAGTGATTTCCAAGACAGCCAGGACTGTTAAGACAGAAAACCCCGTCTCAAAAACCCAAAGAGCTTAGGCTTAACAGATTTTGAAGAATACTGAAGAATTAATTTTTTATTCAACTGAGTTATGCAAGACTTCCTTTATTAAGGAAAGAAAATGCACATAAATCTAGACATATGGTTCAACAGACTCACAATCACTAATGTACAGGATTCACAAATTAGTAGCAAAAGACCCTATTAAAATGTTATGTTCTGGGGTACATATGCAGCTCAGGTGGCGAAGTGCTTGCCCACCTTGAGTGCAGCTCTGGATCTGAGCCCATAAACATGATAAGGTGAGCAATGTGTAATCCGGGCACTCAAGAGCTGGAGACAGAAGGAAGAGAAGTTTAAAGTCATCCTCAGCTACATCTAATTCAAGACCGTGTTCCCTTTTCTGGCCAGTGAAAACTTGGGTGTTTTTAGTGAGTGTGATGGTTTAAATGCAATTGGCCATCATATTCTCATAGGGGGTGGCATTATTAGTGTGACTTGTTGAAGTAAGTGTGGTCTTACTGGAGGAAGTGTGTCACTGTGGGGGTGGGCTTTTAGGTCTCAAATATGCTCAAGTCACACGCAGTGTCTCAGTTCACTTCCTGTTGCCTGTGGATCAAAGATGTGGAGTTCTCAGCTCCTTCTCTAGCACCATGTCTGTCTGAATGCCATGGCACTCCATGATGATAATGGACTGAACCTCTAAACTGTAAAGCACCCAATTCAATGTTTTCCTTTATCAGAGTTGCTGTGGCCATGGTGTCACTAAGACAGTGAGGAAATGCGGTAGGTCAGCTGAGGGGACAAACTTTATGACAAGAGGCCGAGTGCAGTCACTAGCTCCACAAACAAATAAACCAAGCAGCAGAGAGTATTGTGTGAGCTCCCCAAAGGTGCTGAGCATTTTCACCATGTGACACCCCGTCATCTACAAATGTGCCGGATCACACTCACAGCTATTCAGGATGCACTCAGGCGACGAACCTCTTGCAGGGCATATCTGAGACAGTCTCACTCCAAATAATAAATTGAAGAGGTATATTGTATTATATTACATTATATTGGATTCCTATTCAGGAAAGCTGCAAGCATAAATATTTATAAGACTAGTGGGATGGTTCAGTGTGTAAAGGTGCTTGTTACCAAGTTTGTGGAGCTAAGTTCAATTCTCTGAACTCACTGTAGAAAGAACTGACTCCTGAAAGTTGTCCTCTGACAAAAGAGGCAAAGTACACACATTCCCCCCATACACATGCACAACTTATAAAATTTACGAAAATTTAGAGACAAAACAAGCTACTTACATTGTTTTTAGGATCTTTTAGATTGAACATCAAGCTTCTATATTTATTCTTATACTTGGAATCTGTGTCTCGAAAAAAAGAGAAAAGCTCTTTTTCAATTTTTGTGGCAACCTTTGCTGCCTTTTCCTCTGGGACCTTCAAATTTGAGTCTGTAAGTCTTAAAATTAAAACAATTCAATTATTTTCAAATACATGGAATAAATGTCATTCAACCTTATTGTAATAACAACATATTACCTTTTCATAAGAATATCTTTAAGAGAATGCCGGACACTCTGTCTGATTTGATCTGCAGAGGGTTTGGAAGCAGCAGCAGGGGGGTGCACATGAGGTCCTCCTTTTTCAACTTTCCTCTTTTTCATCTCTTGCTTCTCATGTGTACCTAATTTTTAAAGGATCTAAACTCATTAAACTGTTTTAAAAGGCACTTTCTTTTATAATGAATGATTTAAGTTTAAATCAAAGCAGACTAATTCACTACTTAGCAATAACATCAAACATCCTGGTGTTAAAGTGATAATTAAAATGTCCAGTGTTCTTTTAAAAAGTAGCCCTAAAGCCATGAAGTGTATGCACTCTTGACCCCATTTCAATAAGGATTTCAAAGACAGTTACTCTTCATATTCTACTGCATTTTTAAAAAGGTACTTAGGAAGCCAAGGCAGTGGTGGCATATGCCTTTAATCCCAGCACTCGGGAGGCAGAGGCAGGAGGATCTCTGTGAGTTCGAGGCCAGCCTCTACAAGACCTAGTTCCAGGAAAGGCTCCAAAGCTACAGCAAAAACTATCTCCAAAAAAAAAAAAAAAAAGGCTACTTAGGAAATCTGACCCAAATTTATTAGGTAAACTAATAATGTGATGTCTTCATTAATAGAACTGACTGCGCTTTTCACCTTGTTTGACATTAACTGAATACTAATCTACTCCACTGGTTTTCTTTCTTCCATTATTAATTCTCACACATTTTCAAATTTTCAACGTCAACCTACTACTCTGACATCAGATGATTTATTCTAGAATCTTCTCAGCTCAAAAATTCTGAAATTCTTTTCATTTCTATTTGCTAGCATTCAGAAAAATTATTTCAGGTGGATTGAAAGATGGCTCACTGATTAAGAGCATGTGCTCTTCTAGGACCACGGTGCAGTTCAGAGCACCATGCCAGGCTACTCATGCTCACCTCTAAGTCTGGCTCTGGGGGATCCAGCACATCCGGCCTCCACAGGCACCTGCACTTACATGTACATAGCCACACACTGACATACACACATACACACCATTAGAAATAAAAGTACATCTTTGTCCTGAGTTCAGTTCCCGGCAACCACATGGTGGCTCACAACCATCTGTAATGAGATCTGGTGCCTTCTGGTGTGCAGGCAGACACACAAACAGAATATTGTATACATAATAAATAAATATTTTAAAAAACAACAAAAAGTACATCTTTAAGAATAAATTTGATGGGGGTAGGAAGAATGGGAAAATGAAGGATCAGGTTGGGCAGGGTGAGGGTGGGATGGAGGAGGAAAGAAATTAAAGAGATGTCTTGATTGATGGGGGGGGGGCAGTTCGGGTTAGCAAGAAACCTGGTGCCAGGGAAACTCCCAGGAATCTACAAATATGAATTCAGCTAAGACTCCTAGCAATAGTGGAGAGGGTGCCTGAACTCTCTTTCTCCTGTAATCACATTGGTGACTACCCTAATTGTCATCAGAGAGCCTTCATCCAGTATAGAAGCAGATGCAGAGATCCACAGCCAAGCACAGGGCTGAGCTCCACAAGTCTTGCTGAGGACAGGTGACCCTCATGAGCTAGGGGGATCTTACAGACTCTGGACCAGTCCAACAGCTAGGGAGACTGCATGCGACCTAGGCCCTCTGCATGGGACTAACAGCTATATAGCTTGGTCTGTTTGTGGGGTTCCTAGCAGTGGGATCAGGACCTGCCCACTGTCCCCTGCACTTGAGTTGGCTTTTAGAAACCTATTCTCCATGCTGGTTGCCTCACCCAGCCTTGATACAGGAGGAGGAGCTTGGTCCTGCCTCAACTTGATGTTCTATGCTTTGGCTTTGTTGCCACCCACAGGAGGTCTGTCCCTTTCTGAAAGGAGATGGAGGAGGAGTGGATGGCAGGAGGGAGTAGAGAGGGGAAAGGAACAAGAAGAGAGGAGGGAGGGGAAACTGCAATGGGGATGTAAAATAAATGAAAAACTTTAGTGAATTTTAAAAAGAATGAAATTATATACACTAAAAACTGTACTTACTAATTACACCATTCAATGCATAAGTCACCTTAAATTTATCTCATCACTTATCACTTCCATGCATGGTGAACACACTTGAACTCCTTCTGAAACATAAATCATTACTATCTGCAACCACCTTGCTATATAATACTATACCAGAATCTCTTGCTTGTAACTTAGCCATTGCATAAATTTCCCTATCCAACTCTCTCCAACCTCTGATGACTTCCAGCTGACAAAACTGCCCATCTACTCTCAGCCTTTATAAAATCAGCATTTCAGACTCTACATATAATAAAAAGTAGACTTGCCACATGCCGTTAATTCCAGCACTCGGGAGGCAGAGGCAGATGGATCTCTATTGAGGACAGCTTGGTCTACAGAGTGAGTTCCAGGACAATCAAGGATACCCAGAAATCCCGTGAGGAAAAAACAAAAGAAAAGAAAAAAAGAGTAGACTTCAACTCTATGTATATAATGCATCAGCTGGCAGACACTTTGACAGTACCATTTCCCTTCAGTCCTTCCCATAATAGCCATTCCTAAAAGAGATAAACTGATATCCTACTATAGTTCTGATTTGTACTTCCTAGATGATTAACGATATTTTTCACATATCTACTATTCTGAAAACCACTTAATTCTAACATTTTTATTACCTTCATAACCCCATTTCCAATAAAAATTAAATTAAACAGTACATCACCACTGCTCCTTGTATGCTTAGCACGTACTCTCCTGCTGGGCAATGCCCTCATCTACTGATCCTATCTTCCCAGGAACTCTGCTACCCCATTTGAGACATTTCATTCTTTCCCTTCTCTTAACAAAACACTCCCTTATCTTCCAGTTTTATTTGCTTATTTCACATTTTATTGAGAAACAGACTCTCAGCTACTACGTACATCAGTCTGTCTTCTCTTACTGCACCCAATATTCTCTACTATTGATTGAACATCCCTAAACTGAAATATTTTTGAAAACAGGATACTCAAAAAGCTTCAGATTTGAAGCCAGAGGAGTAAGACAAAAGAACTAAATAAAAGACATCTAAACAGGAAAAGGGGAGGTCAAATTATTTCTCTTGCAGGAGACATGATGTCATATATATGAAATACTCCATAAAGTAACACAAACAACAACAAACTCAGTAATTTTAAGAATATATATCAATAACAAAATTACTGAGAAATAGAAAATTAACTTCACTGCTAACAGCCATAACAAAATAAAATACCTGGGAATAAATTTACCTAAGTCAAATTTTAAAACCATGATAAAAGAAATTAAAATACAGAGAAAGTTATTCCTTGTTACAAGCTGAAAAATACCATTAAAATGTTCATTCTAGGGTTGGAGAGATGGCTTAGTGGGTAAGAGCACTTATTGCTCTTCCAGAGATCCTGAGTTCACAATCACATGGTGGCTCACACCACCTGTAATGAGACCTGGTGCCCTCTTCTGGCACACAGGGACACATGCAGGCAGAACACTGCATACATAATAAATCTTTTTGTTTGTTTGTTTGTTTGTTTTTGTTTTTCGAGACAGGTTTTCCCTGTGGTTTTGGTTCCTGTCCTGGAACTCTGTAGACCAGGCTGGTCTCGAACTCACAGAGATCCGCCTGCCTCTGCCTCCTGAGTGCTGGGATTAAAGGCATGCGCCACCATCGCCCGGTAAATCTTTTTTAAAAAGTTCGTGTAGACTTCTTCAGTGGGTATACCCATCATGGTCTTGACCTCTTTGCTCATATTCTCACTCCTCCCACACTTCAACTGGACTTTGGGAGCTCAGCCCAGTGCTTGGCTGCAGGTCTCTGCCTAGTTTCTATCAGTTGCTGGATAAAGGTTCTATGGTGGTATTTAAGATATTCATCAATCTGACTACAAGGCAATGCCAGTTCAGGCACACTCTCCTCTATTGCTTAGAGTCTTAGCTGGGGTCATCCTTGTGGATTCCTGGGAATTTTTTCTAGAGCCAGGTTTCTAGAGCCCATAATGGCTCCCTAAATCAAGATATTTCTTTCCTTGCTCTCATCTCTGTCCTTCCTCCATCTCAACTATGCCGTTCCCCAAGTTCTCCTCGCCCCTCCTTCTCCCTTCCTCTTCCCCTTCTACCCTCCCTTCTCCCCCTACCCTATGTTCTCAATTTTGTCAGGTGATCTTGTCTATTTTGACTTTCCAGGAGGATCTATATATGTTTTTCTTAGGGTTCACCTTGTTACTTAGCTTCTTCTCTAGGCTCAATATCCTTTGTTTATAGCTAGTATCCACTTATGAGTGAGCTAATGGGAGCTCACCAACACCAGCCGGACTGGGAAGATATAAGCATAGGACCAAACTAGTCCCTCTGAATGTGGTTGTCAGTTGCATGGCTGGGGCAGACTGAGGGGTCATGGGTAGTGGCACCAGGATTTATCCTTACTGCTTGTACTGGCTTTTTGGGAACCTATTCTCTTTGGATGGATATCTTGCTCAGCATAGATATAGTAGGGAGGGCCTCGGACCTTCCTTAAAGCAACATGCCCTATCCTCTCTGAGGAGTGGATACGGGGTGGGGTGTGGGGGTTAAGTGGAGGGAATTGGAGGAGGGGAGGGAGTGGAAACTTATAATGAAAAAAGGTAGTTTCTTTTTTTTTTTTAAAGTTTATTCTATCCAAAGCAATCTATGGTCAATGTAATTCCTATCAAAACAGCAAAGACATTCTTTCTCACCACAAAAATAGGAAAGACACTTCTAAAATTTTTAGTGAATGACAAAAGATTTTACACAGTCCTGAGCTGAAAAGCTAAAATCATTACAATATTTATGAGTCTAAACAGCACACTACTGGCATTTTAAAAAAAATGCAGAGAGCAATATAACAAAACAGAACACAGAATAAGTCACCATATTTGCAAACAAACAACTAATTTTCAACAAGGGATCAAGAACTTAATTAGAAAACAAAAGTATGCCAGTATCTCAAGTACAATTCCTTAACCTGACAGCCACCTCTACCTACCACTACATTCCTGCTCCTACGAGTTACTGTAATGAATCCCTCTGGTTTCTCCATCATATACTGACATAATTATGCTACAATTGTTTCTATCTGACTGCTCTCTAAAAGCATTTTTGTCAAGGTCATCAGTGACCTACTTTGCTAAGAGGTTTGTTTAATATTATATTTCAGCTGCTGAGATACCCAGGCAGCACCTGACAGTTTATCATTTCCCTTCTAGCTTTGCAGCACCATAGTACACTTCTCCCCATCTCAAAGGCCTCCACCTCTCAAATTACCCTTGCTGGATTTTTTCATATTCCCGGGTTGTTGTTTTTTTAAAAAAAAAAAAAAAAAGCTGGATATTTTACAGGCTCTGCTTCTACCTTGCTGTGGAATATTCCTTTACACTGTGTGAATATATGTTGCTGTGAGTGGTTTAATAAACAAGCTGACTGGCCAATAGCTGAACAGAATGAGGTTAGGTAGGAGTCAGACTAGGAGAATGTTGGAAGAAGGGCAGAGTCTGAAGTCTCCCATCAGAAGCAGAGGGAGCAGGAGATGGAAATGTGCCATGCTAATAGATACCACCACATGGCAGGATGTAATACCAAATACGGGTTAACTTAAAATGTTAAGAGCTAGTTAGTAATAAGCTTGAGCTACTGGTTGAGCATTTATAATTAATATAAGCCTCAGTATGTTTATTTGAGAGCAGCTGCAGGACAAAAAAACTCTGCCTACAAATGGTGCCCAAATATTCGGGGAGAATTTCTACATAAAACCTGAAAAGCATTTTTTAAAAAAGTTCTAAATGCAGAGAAACAGAGATAAATGCAGCTTCTAGTCTCACAGTCTCATGCCAGGCACAGTACAGAGACATCGCCAACAGTTGCTGCGAGATGGAGCCAGCTGCCAACTGCCATGAGCTAAGCAGCATACCGGTTCCCAAAGTCTCTCAAAAGGGCCACCAGGGGCTTCTCCCAGCAGCTGCCTAAAAAGTTGCCAGTGCAAGGTCCTCCAGAATGCTGCAGGTTTGGAGCTTTGCTCATGCAGACAGAAAGGGATTACAGATACACAGTAAAGGCAGATTCAGATGGAAAAAGCCTCTAAATGGGTTATAATGTGTTTAAAAATGTACAAAGGCTTGAGAGAGAAGAGAAAGAGTATATAACACATTAAATTAAAAACTACAGTATTAAAATAATGAAGTCTTTAAAAAGGAAGTAATATTTTAAAAAGCCATGTAAAGAAAGAACACAGAGTCTGAATACTGTATATTACTGTGTTGTCTTTGAATTTTCTGACTGCTGAGGAAGAAGCAATGGTTGGTAAGGGACACTGGGTTAAAGCTGATTAAACCAACCTATATATTTTCAAAATATCTTGACTTCAAATGTCTTGACTTCAAATGTTAGGTATGTTTCTTTGGAGGAGAGGTTATGCTTTTATTTCCATAGAAATTGAGAAGCTCTGGATTCATTCTTGGCTAAAGAAAATCTGGTTTGATGGAGAAAGAACCCCTGAAAATCCAGGCTACAAACATAAAGAAATAAACCTAAAAGAACTATAAGATATATGATTACATATTTTACTGCTCAAACACATAACAAAAAATTCATTTTTGGCTGACTTATGTACAATACACAGTATATACTTGTCTTGTGAGGATCTGACTTTGCAAACTCCATTTTAAAGAAGAGGCTTCATCTTAAGCCATAAAATAAGCTGGGGATGAGCAGATCTCAGCTCCAGAAATGTGCTATGACAGCAGAAATCTGAACAGATACCCTAAAAAATGGTCAATTAGGAATATAGGGAGCAGGATCATAAAATTTAATGAGGGCTAGATGTTCCTAGGAGGCATCCTGTCCTTGAAGATACCTTGTCAGTAATTTATGGCTCTTTGTTAGGTTTTTGCCCAAAAACTGGCAAATGGTTTCAGAAACTACCTTATCCTATGTCCTTCTTACCTAATCCCAAGACGACAGGACGTGAACTCCCTGACTACAGCGTTTCCCCTTTAAAAGTTCTATGCTCCCAGGGCTCCCTGCCACACTTTCTCCTCCCACCCCATGCTGGGGTGCTGGAAAGGTGTTGGTCCAAACTTAAGCTTGAATATTATTAAAAAAAACCCTCATATTAATTTGCATCAGAAATCCGGCTCCATGAATTCATTGGGGACAAGAAATTTGAGCATAACAGTATTAATGCAGATGTATATGTAATAAGTCTGAGTTACTGGTCAAGCATTTATAATTAATGTAAGTCTCAGCATGTTTACTTGAGAGCGGCTGTGGGATGGGAAAACCCTGACGATACAACCTGTCCATTGTGGAAATTTCTACAGCTGTTTTTTATTAAATCTTTGATTTTAAATAATAGCTATGGATGAATGTGTTCCCAATTCATACAGTAGCTCTGGATATCTAATAAATGTTCAAAGTTATAATGATTAAAGCAGTAATTTTTAAATATTCCTTCAAGTCCTTTTCTTTCTCATCTCATTAAATGAAACTAAAATTCTATCCAATCATCCCCACTTCCTTCATCTGCCTATAACTAATCCCCTGTCAAGTTCTGTTGTTAACTTACTGTAAAAGTCATCTCAACTTGAACATGTTTACTATGTCTGCTGTACCTGTGCGACAAGCCACTCTCATCTCTTTTACAGGATGCTGCTATGAGTGTGCTCCTCCCTTCCTACCGGCCTGCAGACCCAAACTATTGGGTCATCTAGTACTCCCAAGCACAAAATCCAAAGGTTTCACACATAGCGAAAATAAACTGAACCATCTTCCATTATTTCCTTGAACCTGCCTTCTAGTACTAGCCTACTCCTAAGTCTACATATACTGCTCCTGACCTTGTATCTCTCCTTCAGTGTCTGATACTCTCCAAATTTCACAAGTTATCTCCCTCCTAAATCAGTCCCCCTGGCTCTCTCCCCCCAACTGGGACTCTGCATCTCATTTCCACACTTTTTCTTAAAGCTTCTGATACCGTTTTCTTACTTGTCAGTCTACTGTCTGTCTCCTTCCACTAATACTTAAAAGGCCAGGAAGATGGGGCTAAGGTCTTCTAGCTTCACTAGTATCCCCTAAATTTGGGGCAATGTTTTTCATTACAAACATAGTCAATTTATTTTTTATTTTATTTTCAAGACAGGGTTTCTCTGTGTAGCCCTGGCTCTCCTGCAAGTCACTGTAGACCACGCTGGCTTGGAACTCAAGAGATCCATCTGCCTCTCGAGTGCTAGGATGAAAGGCATGTGCCATCACCGCCTGGCAAAAATATTTTACTTTATTATCTATTTTTTAAGTACATTGGTATGAGAGTGTTAAATCCCCTAGAACTAAAGTTACAGATAGTTGTGAGCTGTCATTAAAATGTTCATTAAAAAAAAAGTCCATGATACACTAACCTATAAAATAAACTAAATATATGGTACATAATTCTTAGTAGTCATTACCTGATTTTGATGCTTTTTCTACTGTGCAAGTAACAGTTGTAGATTCTTTGTGTATTTTTTCACTTTTTTCATCTGATGATCTCCGAGGTAAAACTGGTTGTCCCAACTTCCGAAGAGGAGCTAGCTGCCATTTTTTAATTTCATTATCTCTACTGTCAGATGAAGATTTTCCCTCACCAGCCTCCTGGAAAATGGGATTTATTTCATTAAAATGAAAACTACCACATAAGAGAAACCTCAATAATATATAAGTGAAAGAAACTAAATCTAACACACAAGCTGTAGCAAGGAAACAATTTTCAGTCATCAAACATCTAACTGTCTTAAGACACACAAAAATAAACTGAATAAAAAATGAATAGTTCGCTAGGCAGGGGTGGCGCACGCCTTTAATTCCAGCACTTGAGAGGCAAAGGCAGGCACATCTCAGTGAGTTCGAGGCCAGCCTGGTCTACAAAGTTCCAGAACAATCAGAACTGTTACATAGAGAAACCGTGTCTCAAAAAACCAAAAAAACAAAAAAAAATCATTCTTTCATTCAAAATCTATTTGTTAAGCACCTACTTTGCACAAAACACATAACATCCTATAAAGGAGGAAAAAACAGATCAGGTGGTAAGGTCCTCAGTTGGCTGTAAAATGAAGGCAGTGATTGTGGAGTATGCAGACACTGAGCATCTGCATTTGTCAGTACTTCTAAAGAATCAGTTCACACTATGTCAATAAACCATTTTTACTCCCTGGGTACCATCAGTGTCCTTGCTACTTGGTTCCTAAATTGAAACCTACAAATAATTACTAGTGAAAAAAGGCTTCTCAGATAAATTACATTATACTAATCTTGAAAAACAGGGAGAATAACCATGTACAGATAAATAAAATACCAAATGTGGAAACATGATGTTTTCTTTAATGTAGGAATCCTCAAATTTTTTACTTATGCTTTGCCGTGTATGTAAGTGCACCACATGCATGCACCATGCCTGTGGAGGCTTGAAGAGATGTCAGAGCCCACAGCTCTGGAGCTGCAGACACTGAGCCACCATGTGGACACTAGGAATTATACCTGGCTCCTCTACCAAGACAGCCAGTGCTCTTAATTGCTGAGCCATCTCCCAAGCCCCAGTAACATGTTTTACTGTCACAGGTCTGGTAATAACATTCCTAGCACACAACAAAAATACAACAAATAGTTCAACACAGAAATCTGGTGATGTGAAAAGCAGACACTGTAAATTACCAGACTGATCCGAAGATTCAAGAGTTCACCATCAGCCAGGTGTGGCAGAACATGTCTTTAATAACAGTACTTGGGAACAGAGGCAGGCAGATCTGTGAGTTTGAGGCCAGCCTGATTTACAAGTTCTAGGACAGCCAGGACTACATAGAGATTAAAAAAAATTAAAACAAAAAGGGTGAACAAAGAATAGAGTTTACCATCAAAAAGAAAACCGAGCAAAGACAGGCAGAAGGCAGCACACATTTATAAATTCAGACCAACTTCTAGAATTTCTGAAAACATTAACAATGTTAATGTTCTATAACGTCTTTTCAAGTAAGAAAGGCAAAAAGACAATATAGTAAGATATATTTCCAGATAGACAAGAAACTGTACACAAAATTTAACAACCAACAGTTGTTGAATAACAATAACATGTGGGCTGGAGAGATGGCTCAGTAGTTAAGAGCACTGCCTGCTCTTCCAAAGGTCCTGGGTTCAATTCCCAGAACCACATGGTGGCTTACAACCATCTGTAATGAGATCTGGTGCCCTCTTCTGGCCTGCAGGCAGAGTACTGAGAATACTGTATACATAATAAATAAATCTTTATAAAACAACAACAACAACAAAAAATAACATATAGAAGTTTTCAGAGAACATACTGTAAAACACTAATATAGCACTCAGCCATATTGTCAATTAACTTTATGTTAAACAAGAAAATCTAACTCTCCAAACATCCTGTCAGACAGAAATGCTAAATGTCAAAAAGACTTGACAAAATGGAAATCAACCAAGATTAGACAAAAAAAAAGGAGTGTGTGACAGAGCTGAGTCAGTAAACTATGGAGAAGGCCATCACAAGGCCCAGGCTCTGGTGAAATATCTTCCCTGCACAGTAGAAAGCCTGGCTGTGCTCGGGAACTGCAGAGTTCGATGCCAGCTCAACTGCAGACCTTTCTAACAGAGCTGTGCTCCCTCACCATCCTTTGAAAACAGAAGCTGCAGCTTCTCCCCAAGCAATGTGTGGCTTACTAACAGATCTGAATGGCTAGACCAAAGGCTTCCAGTGCTTCCTTCAGCTTCTAAAAGTAAGTGTTTTCTTTGTCTTTTAGACGACATTTGCTTATTCATATACACTTATTGCCACTACATTTTTTTCCTCATCAGGATTCTACTATAAATCAGGAATAAGAAAAATCACTGGTAATGAAAGAAAAGTTGGATAGAACAATACACCCTTTATATTTTTCTTCTTTTGAATATATATTTTAGAATTTGTTTAAAAAATACTTCTAGAAGGCGGTTTAAAATGTCAGATCAGGGCCGGGTGATGGTGGTGCATGCCTTTAATTCCAGCACCCAGAAGGCAGAGACATGTGACTATGTGTGAGTTCAAGACCAGCCTGATCTACAGAGCTTGTTCCTGGACAGCCAGAGCTGTTACACAGAGAACCCCCCCTCCCCGCCTCAAAATAAATACATAAATAGATACATAAATAAATGATAAAAAAGATCAGGGAAAATAAACCTTTAGAAGTCTACAGCTTAACAGCAGAAGTCGGAAGAGTGACTTCCAAGCAAATGAGATCAAAGATTACATTTTTTTTAATTCTTAAAGAAAATACAAAATGGTTTACCTAAAAAAAAAAAAAATCAGTATTTAGATTGAAAAGTTGTTTCAAAAACTCTGTAAACATACTTAGTCATACAGTCACATAAACACTGTAGAACAAAAAATCAAATATAAAACTACAGCTTAGCACAAAAAAAGCTGAAAATGCCGAAGTCCCTACTTTTCAGCAAAATTGCCCCCCAAAAAAACTCAGTCTTATGAAAAAATAAGGATGTACACTGTAATAAGCACGAAAGAGAAGTTTTTGAAACTCATTTCGGTCCATATAAAGCTTCTGAAATAATCAATGTACTTTTTGGAAAGCTTACCCGTTTTAAAATTTTGACCTTGTGCTTTACATTATCATTCATGTACTTGCTTTTATCATTCGCTACCATGTGCTTCGATGACCCGAGCTTTTCACACTCCATGGTTTTCTCTTCACTGTGGGCTTCAAATGTAGTTTGGTCTTCCAAAATATCTGTGTCTAATATGTCAGTCTTTTTGTCTTCTTCAGCACAACATCTTACACAAACATATTCTTTGTCTTCCTCTCCCATTTGTTGTGCTTGGGAAAGACTTAACCCAACACAGTCACCATGAAACCAGTCATCACATCTCCCACAGCCAACCATAAACCTGTGGGGAGCAGAAAAGTAATTTATTAAAAACAATATTCAAGTGAAAACAGTATTTACCTACTGCTCCTACTTTCCATGTATGCAATAGTTCAACATGAAGCAAGTTCTGAAGGAATATCCCATGAAAATATAACTTTTAAATCAGGAGAGTTTCCTCTCTAGAACGGATAGAAGACACTAAGGGATGATAGAAACTAGCACACAAGTCGGTTTCGGGTGAAAACTAATCTCCCATAGTACAAAAACACCATAAAACCAAGCAAAAACAGAAACAGTGAGCAGGGCAAGGTGTGAGATCTTATCCTCAATCCACCCTAGAAATGATATCATACAGAAAACTGGGGATTTGACTAAAAAAAAATGTTTAAAAAGTAAAAAAACCATAGAAGAAAGTCTCTTTCATTCTTACTAGCCAGTATGTAACCTCAATCATTCTTCATTCTGGTCCAAAGTGTCAAACTGATTCAGCTGAAGAAATCTGTTTACTTTTGGGAATGAATCTTAGTCAATGCCCATGTGTTTGAGGTTATCACCTCATTTCCCAAAAACAATACTCTTATCTTAACATAGATGCATTCACATTTAGGTTTTATTTCAAATGTGGAAATTTTTTTCCTTTATTGCATTCTACCTTGACTACTCATGAATCAGTGGTCAAGTCCAGTGTGAAGTTTTAATTTAAAAAAATTGTCATTCACCTAAAGATGTGATATTTAATTTTTTAAATTTATTTTTTGTTTTTTTGAGACAGGGTTTCTCTGTGCAGCTTTGGAGCCTGTCTTGACATTCGCTCTGTAGACCAGGCTGGCCTCAAACTCAGAGATCCACCTGCCTCTGCCTCCAAGTTCTGGGATTAAAGATGTGTGCCACCACCGCTGCCAGGTCATTCACCTAAAGAATATTTGCAACTACTTAGGAACAAAGTGGCAAATCAAACATGACCACATAAGCAGCAATATTATCAGCACACTTGGATATTCAGATTTCATCCCTTTTCCTCTTTCACTCTGGCAATCCATGGTATCTGAAAGACTTAGGGATAGCCTTTTATCATGTTAGCACTCTGTGGCACCACCAAACACGCCCTACTCCTTTTAAAGTATGTGTGGTCTAACAGATGGAATGCTTAAAATTAGCCTAGGTGAAGTGACCCAACTCTAAAAACACCCAAGTTCCTATTTTCATGTTGGAAATAACAAAATTCGGACATTTAGGCGGTGTTTTAAAAGTGGTATCAAATCCATCCATTCGTCTACAGTAGCTTTTCATTCTTTTTATCCTGTGTGCATTTCTGTCTGCCCAACTACTGCTGCTAAGTCTTAAGGAAACTAGTGCAAGTGGCCACTTATCCTCAATGGTTATGTCTGCGCCAGTGCTGTCAGCCTTCACTTTCCCCATGATGCTCTTGGTTTGAAACATAAGGATAAAAATGTTCTGGCTTGGTGGGAGCCTAGCCAGTTTGGACGTTCACCTTCCTAGACATGGATGGAGGGGGGAGGACTTTGGACTTTCCACAGGGCAGGGAACCCTGACTGCTCTTAGGACTGGAGAGGGAAGGGGAGAGGAGAGGGAGGAGGGAGAGGGAAATGGGAGGCTGAGAGGAGGTGGAAATTTTTTTTTCAATAAAAAATAAATAATTAAAAAAAAGAAAAACTAAAAAATACCTTTCTTCACAAGATGAGAGAGCATTTAAACAAGGTAACATTTGTAAGTTTCTGTTTGAGATTTTTGATGATTTTGTGATGTTTCAAATGATGTAGCTCTTCCACAGGGTAGGGATTTTGAAGAATTCTTTAATTTTTAATACCTTAATGTTCTTTCCTTACTCCATACGAAGTACACACATTGCTATTTCCTGAAACCAACTGTCTAATATAAACAGCTTTGAGATTCTCAAAGAAAACTGGTGGTCACTTCTCTTCTACAACTACAGCTGCATTGACTTCAAGGCAAGTCTGCAATGGTTTCATCTTAAATGTCAGATTACACAACACAGTAAAGTGACACATAGCCAGGCCATCTCACTGACCTATGATCATAAAATTTATCAAATTATGTCATCATAACTGATTTCAAGTTTACTTTGGAAATGCCTACACTCAAATGTTGACATATTTTGAAACAAATCTCATGTCATCTAAAGATGTGATCTTAGATTTGCTTTTTAAAAACAATGCATTAAAATAAAAAAAATTCTACAAAAACAAACAAACAAAATGGTAAAAAACTCCCAGCCACCATCTGGGGTTGTGGAGGGTGGGAGAAATCTAATATAGTCAATTACAACTATTAACACCAATTTCTAAAGCCAAAACTTCTAAATACCATGAACTTAAAAAAAAAAAAAAAACTTTCTGTAAAGACAGGACATAAACAGGAAATGGGAGAGAAGAGGGTTAGAGATGGATGGACGAGGGACCTTTCCTTCTTTCTGGCTATCATGCTGCTTTAAAGACACAAGGACAAGGGGGCAGAGTTAGGAAGCAGAGCCCAGAATCTGTAGCAGTGAAGCAATAAACAACTATTATTCCATTTCTTGTCCTATCCTTGAATTTCTGAATAACAAGAGAAGTTTCTTTATGGAAAATAGTAAGTTTCTGTGTAAAAATAAATTCCATGTAGAGCTTCTAAATCAGTTAACTCAGGTAAATCAGTATGAATTAGTAAGTGGAAAAATGCAGCAATACTCATTGTCTTTTCTTACTATATGTTCACATACAGACAGAAGACAAAAATTAGTTACTGAAAAATAATAGAAAGCAACTATTTCTAATTTTGATTCTTTTTGGTATGAGCCAGAAAAAAAATTCTCGGAAAACTTCAGTTGTTAAAGTAAACTATAGAATTAATTCCAAAAATATCTGCAGTCACAACAACAAATAAAAAGTGGTGGGGTCACAAATTAACACTGAAGGTGTTACAGGTTCTATTAGTTCTACTAGGTCTATAGGTAATAGAAGTGACAGCCCAGAACGTACTACGTACACACTCACTCTTCTAAACTGAAGATTCTATTTCACATAAACATTAAATCTCCTTAATAGTAAACCTAGTGCGAAGAAAAATAGTCTACAAAACTAAAAATAAGAAAACCAAAATTACTTATTCTAATGAATTATGTCCTCAGAACTAGTGTTCTTTTCTGAATATAACACGATGAATTAATGTTGTTAAGTAGACTTTTTGCTCCTTGTTTTTGAAATTTTGTCCAATATACAATTAGGGTCAAGAAAACGCATTACAAATTAAAGTTACAAAACATCTTCCTAACAAAGGAGGAAAGAGAAACCCAAGGTAGATAATAGGAAGAGACTAAGAAAACTTCCATTCAAAATGCCTTCTAATTAAAAGGCTCTAAATTCATATTTAAGTAAAAATAAACAAAGGTCTTATTTTAAAAGTAAAATGAATAATTTTGATACATTTCTGCATCAGGAAAATAAATTTAAGAAAAAATGCACTATATTAAAAGAACTACTGTCTCTAGGACATAAGAAAGTTAGGATATTATGCCATGAAGAATTGTTCATACAAACCATAATATTCAACTGGACATATGTATAAGAAGCTAACCCAAGTTGCAATTTGTATAAAATACTGATTAACTCTACTGTCACAAGTGTGACTAATATATAAAATCAGACACTCTACATACTTTTCTAGTAAATCTATAGTTTTACATGTACATTAAATATAGAAAATAACAAACTGAAAAGCATGTTTTATGTATTCAATGAATGAAAGGATAATGTAAAAGTGGTGAAGCTAATATATAAGAAAAAAACAACCAATTACTTAGGTTTCTTTATTCACAGACTGAAAAAAAATTACTGAAGGTGTCTGAAGAACTAATTTAGAAACTGTTTCCAATGTACACCATCAAGATCAATTACAGAGGGTCAACATCCCAGTCCCCACAGCTAACATTCTAAGCTGTATTCCAGACTAAAGCAAATAAAGTCCATTTTTTATAAGGCAGGTTCAAAAATTTAAAGTATAAGCAGAATATGTAACCTTACCTTCACAAAATTAACTGCTGATGCTATGAAGTGACAGCCACCACTAAACTAAAGAGCTTGGGTAGATTCCTGAAGACTAGGTCATTAGACAAAATTTTATCTATTAAAAAGCAACTGTAGCATACTACACTCCGGTTCTAACTCTTATGCCAAAGTTGTTGCTAAGTTTTCTAACCCATGACTCGTAAACACATCAGTGCCCTGAATTTTGGAAGATACTAAGGACAAAGGGCTGGCTTTTATTAAAAGGACAAGAAAAAGCACAATTTAATCCTTAAGTCTCTGAGATCTGAAGAGTAAGTTTCCTTTAGAAGATGTAAATGTATCATGAACATAAAAGCCATTAGAAGTATGTAACTGGGATAAAGGTAGCATTATATTCAAACATTAGAAAAACAAGAAAATACTTTTACTTTTACAAAAGTACTTCCTGACATTAAAATAGGATATGAACAATTTTAGTACATAAAAGCTGAGTCAAGAGGACCACCCCAAGATCAAGGACAGCACATGTTACATACTGAGCTTCAAAACGGGCTCTGCTACAGACTCTGTCTCAAAACAAAACAAAACAAAACAAAAAAACAACAAACAAACAAACAAAAAAATTAAAGCAATTCTCTGGCATAAAATCTGGTTTAACAACCCTAAAACTTCCCCTTTCCTCTCCAATTGAAATTATGTACACAGCATCATTTACTGATTGCCTCTCTCTAAACTCAGTGTCTTTCTTATGTGAGCTGACAAGAGTAGAAAGGTAACTGTCATTTTACTTGTCCACTTTTTATTTTCTCTTTAATGTATAATTGTTGACGGAAGTCCCAACAGCAACGTGAACACTTGCTCAGCACCATCTAGAGTAGCAACTATAGTAGAAACTTCATTCCTTCTTTGTATTTTCTCAAAGAAAGTAAATGAAGAAACACTGAGGATGGGGCATCGTCATTCACTACTAGAAATGGAGTCCAAAACAACCCTATGATAATAGTAGTGGTAAAGTCAACTCTAAAATTTTCAAAGATTACAACTCACAAATTCTTTAAACTACTAAAACTTTCCAAAAACATTTTCAGTCTATTCCATAACAGATACAAAATTCACCTAGGTGATCTAATGGTTACTTTTTTGCTGCTGAGTTTAGTTCCCAGCTCAAATCTGTTGGTTTGAAATGGTAGTGGTTGGGTTTAAAGTGCATCATTTAAAAAAACAACAGCTTCAAAGAAAACTAGCAATTCCATTATGACCTTCACACTTTATTACTAGTTCTTCTGTAGTCAAATAATGTGACAGATAACCTCCAATCCTGAGGCAATATGACAATTCTGATTAGCATAAGGGTTTTGAATTTTATCAGATGCAATGACATTAAATCATAACTGGTTACAATGATAAAACATGTACATGCACATCAGCTATTGGTCAGACTAAGCTTTTTAAAAATATCCTATGATGATCTGATTGTAAATTCAGTGGCTCCAGGTTCCTATCATTTATCCAGGATTGGTATGGGGCTTTTAGAAGTCTTGTTTATCAAATTTCTTTTCATATTAGAAAGTTCTCACACCAATCTCAATCCTCATCCTACAAGCTTCTCAGTGTACACACCCATACACATATACACACGCACACACACCTGTTGCCATGTGGTTTTTTACAAAACCCACATTGCTTGCTGGGAGTCCACATATATTTGCTTTCAACTGAGGAGATTTGATCTGACCCTTCTTTTTTTACAGTAGCTATGTTGTCTGGAATGAACAAAGGAGGCTCATCCAGAGAAAAACTTCGACTGCTTCTCCTTTGGCGAGGCTGTAGGTTTTTCTCTGGTTTTTTAAGTTTCAGTTTATCCTCCTCCTTAAGATGCTCACTGCCTGGATGCTCATGCTCATCCTTCACATGGCTAGTGACTTTCACTGGTGCCTGTGGTTGAGGCCTATGGCTCTGTTTCTGGCTGGAATGCAGCAAGTGTCCAGTTTGTGCAGGGTGATGAGGCTCCTTAGAGCAGCCAGAGTGACCATGAAGCTTATCACTAAGAGAATGAGTTAAAGGTTTGGAAACTTGCATTACATTTTGATCCTGTGAGGTTTTTTTCAATACAGAATGAGACTGGCTTTTTATAGATTTAACCCCAGAATTACAACTCAGACTCTTCGACTCCTTATCAAGTTGTCCTTTCCTCACTTTGGCCGGCCTCTGAAAATCATGCTGAGGCTCTGGTTCGTCAGCATTTCGCTTCACACTCTTGACATTAGATTTAGTTTTGCTATGAACTACTTCATGCTTCACTGCAGCAGTTTTTCTTGGAGTCTCTGTGGTCATACTTTGTTTAGAATGAGTTGTAGACTTTAAGTGCTTAGATTTTACATTTTTGAGTTCTAAACCGCTTATATCATCCTGAAGATCTGTTGTCTCATGAGAATCTATTTTAATACTTTGAGTAATATTCAACTGCTTTGAATTTTGGTCAGGAACATCACAAACAGTGTTTTCCAAAGTACTAGTTTCTGGTTCAAATGCACAAGTATCAACCTCCTCCAAATTTGATTTATTAAACTCTGTACTCTGCAATTGAACATCACTAGATCCCATGTCCTCACAATATCCTGATGTTTCCATTTGACTTCTAGGAAGACAGTCTTCAGCTTTATCAACAATACCTATGGTATTCTTCAATTCCAAATTACATTCAGCCGGTTCATTCTTTTCTGTCTTATTTTTATCTGTACAGACAGAGTCACTAGACACATCAGAAGATACAGGTTCCTCCATCATCTGGTCATCTTCACAGGGTAGCTTTATCTCCTCTAATTCTTGTTCAAGTTTTCCCATTGTGCCCCTATCTTCAATAGTGTCGTCCATTTCACCTGAAACAAGATCATTCTGTTCATCTTCCTTATCTGAAAACTTAAACAATGGGCTACGATCACTCTTAGGTTTACATTCTATCAGAACTTCATTTTTCTTTTCTTCTATACTATCACAAGTCTCTGAAAGAAGTGGACAATTTAACTCATGAGATGGCACATTTACTTCCCCCTGGTTATTACATGTACGCTTGGGATCCAATTCAGCTTCATCCTTCATTTCAACACAAGGCGACACTGAAGAATCAACAGAAGATGCTGAGACTTCTGGCACCACATTGACTGGCTCAGCATGCCGGCTACTCCTTCTACTCTCCTTGGGGTATTCAGATTTCAGAGATGTGTGAAGTTCTTCTTTACTGTGACTTCTCTCTGACGGTCTCACCCCTACTTTAGGGGTAGATACAGTCTTCCCAGGTGGCTTTTTTGTGCTTAGAGGCGCTGCATTTGAACGCTTGGCAATAGTGCTTTGTCGCAAACTTCTTACTTGTTCTATCATAAGAGAAAAAAATAAAATAAAAATAAAATAAAAACTTAGCTATTTGCTGTGTGCTTTTATTTTAGTAGAGATTAGAATATATTGTTTCTTCATTCTGAACTATGAAACTTACCTTATCATAATAGCAAAAGTTTACTGATAGCTACTCATGATGATCACATACACATTAATATATATAATTTAATGTTAACTACATTCATGAGAATCTCTTGAATTCTGGCAGAAGAAATAGAAATGCAAACTTCAGACTCATCTAATTTGAAATTATCTTTTCTATACAAAGTAAAAGATGGAAATCAAAGTAACCAAAATGAGAATCTATTACCACTAATAACTGCTTAAAGAAAGATTACCTCATATTCCTAAATAGAAAATATTTCTAATTATATAAAACCAAGTTAGGTCCAATTGCCATTATAAGCCCAAATGCCAATAAAGCCTTAAATGCAAATGGAACCATGTATCCTAAATAATATCTGTTGTTTCAAGAAATAACTGCGAAAGACTTCCAATTTCCATTTTAATATATTTTCCTTTTACTTTAAAGCTATTTTTTAAGTGAGACTAGTCTCCTATAGCCTAAGGCTAGCCTTAAACTCCAAGATGATCCTTGAAGTTGATCCTCTTGCCTTCGCTTTTACAAGCTGAGACTTAATAGGCTGTTAGCACAACTAAAACCCAGGTTTCTGCTAGGTAGGTAAGCACTCTAAAACAGAGTAACCTACAAACATCTCCAGTCCCTACACTATTCCTAAAGAAGAAATTAAAGTTTACACCAGTGTACCATATACAGACTGCTGCTAAATGAATCAGTAACTTAATCTGAGAAAAATGTATAATAAGGAAAATATTTTTTAAAAAAGTAAAGAAACTTCCTTAACAGTGCTCCTAGTAGAATCTATTAAATTTGATTTTCCCCCTTTCCCCTGAGTCTGATACAAATCTTCTAGAGAAAGGAAAAACACACAGTAAAAAGAACTGGGGGAAAAAAACAAAAACAAAAAACAAAACTTTAAAAATTCACTAAACAGAAAAGCAATTTGTAAATTAAAATTCAAAATAGAAGCATGAAACTATACTTATCTTGTTCCTCTAAATCAAATTCACATGAACGCATCAATTTCTTTTAAAGCTCCCCATTCAAAATAAAATCCTACTATGCTACTGCTTTGAATTTTTCCCCCAACTTGTCACTTATCGTCAGAGGATGAAACTACTAAAGAATGTCCTTCCACCCGCAGCAGTCCCAGGTGATATACTTCAGGCCCTGGTGGAACACAACAGCAGCCTCACTCTTCAGTGTCCCATTGAAAAATAAACTATACACAGTCATCCAGTCTTTGGGATCCTTTCCATTCCCTCCAGGCCTTACATTATCTGGACATTTGGGACACACTCTACAACGTAAAAATTATGGGCTGTGGAGATAGCTCAGTCAAAAAAGTACTTGTTATGCATGTACAAGGACTTGAGTTTAGATTCTCAACCTCTTTTATATAAGATGAGTAAGGAAGTCTGTAATTCCAGTGCTGGATGTAAGACAGGCTGTTGAGACTAGACCCCTGGAACTCACTGACCAACCAACCTAGTTCAATCAAGGAGTTTCAAGTTCACTGAGAGATTCTGACTCAAAACAGAAGGTAGAAGACGATGGAGAAAGACAACTGGCCTTCATATTCACACAACTAGTGAATATGCACATACAACACAAAAAGATAAAATCAGAATTAAAACACTAATGTATTATGAACTGTTCATTATATGCTCAGTTATTTTTAAAATAACTCCCTAAATTTTATTTCTGTATCAGAAGACATTTAAGTTCTGAACTCTATACATCCATGAAATGGAACCACTGAAAAACAGTAAATTAAAAAAAAAAAAAAAACTTTTGGCTTTGAAGTGGTTACAAAAAAAAGAAGAGCAGCAGTTGACTCAGAAGGTAGCCGAATGAAATATTATTTTCTAATAGCAACTTATCTATTAAGTGAAGGATAAAGCTACTTTTGCTTCTCTAAACTGCCTTTTTTGCCTTTCTATTATATTATACACACATAAACACACATGTATCTCAAAGAAATTATAACAACCTTTATTCCCTTAGCTACAATAAAGAATCTTTTTGAAAAGATATGAATCCACAGAAAATGAAGAACAAGAGGAAACAATGACAAATTTTATAATTCAAACAAGAGACAATTAAGACGTAATATCCCCTGGGCTCATAGGAACTCAAAGACTTAACCAACAAACAAGGAGCTTGCATGGGACTGACGTAGGCCCTTTACATATATGTGACAATTGTGCAGCTTGGTCTTCTTATGGAACTCCTAACAACAGGAGCTGGGCTATCCCTAATGCTTTGGCTAGCTTTGGGGAACCTACTCCTCATACTGGGTTGCCTTGCCCAGCCTCAGTACAAGGGAAGTACATATAGTCTTACCACAACTTGATAGACCGTGCTTTGTTGATACCCATGGGAGGCCTGCCTCTTCCTGAATAGAAGAGTGGATGGGGGGGGGGGGTGTAGCAGAGGGGAGATAAAGAGAGGGAAGGGAAGGAGAGGAAAGAAGGGAAACTGTGGCCAGACTATAAAATAAATTAAAAAAAAAAAAGAATAACAAGAAGAAAAGTAGTATCCTTGAAACAAACACTAATAAACTGGCAAGTTTAGCAAATTCACCAACATCGTGCCCAAAACTGATGGCTTATCCCCTAGAGTAAGAAAGGGTTTTTCTAGACTAGTAATGTCACAGTTAAGGAGTATAAATACGAGACACTGATGATAGTTGTGAGACAAAGAGAATTGACATATACTGAAAGTTTTGAGATATTCCCATTAGCTGTCTTCACAGGGTACCAAAATATGCCAATATACTAGAGAAATAACCTGAATTCTGTTGAGAGGTTTCTCAAAGAACAAGTATCACTCAGTTCATAAATTCAGCCAACACACTTACAAGCTCCCAGTGTTTGTTCACTGAAGCAGGAGCAAGAGTCAAGACTCAATCATCTTTAGAAATATGGGATTGTACAAGTATTTATTGCTCCTCTGTTCTAGCATTCCCAATCTCCTTCCACACCTCTTTGAAACACTGACTACTGACTTAGTGACCCTTACCACTTTCCTTCACTGTGTCGCTGTGATAGCAGGCACTTGCTCTACTTCTGAAACAAGTATAGCAACAAAATGACTTCGGTCCTTTCAGCTAGCAGTCTTACTCACTAACCCAAGAAAACTCCACCTAATGCTGTGAATCTTGCTGGCAGAAGCCAGTGACAAACCCTGTGATGTACAAAATCTCTGTATATTTGAAGTTTGCTTAGCTCTTTGGCTTCTTACAATTCCTAAATAAAACATATTTACAAAATGAGGGAAGGAAGGTTTCTAAATGAAAAAGACTAAAGCTCCTTTTCTCTTTTAAAGCAAAATGGAGAAAACAAACTATTAAAGGAAATGAGACAGTTTAAAACATTTTGATTATCTTCCTAAAGACAAAAGGTATGAGCACTTAAAGACAAAAGCTATTAATATACACTAAAAAAGAAGAAGAATGCATCCCTACCATCAGAGCCATTCCCCAAACAAAACAAAGACATATTTGAACATGGGGACAGAAAATTCAGAGGAAAATAAAACAATTTCAAAAGATTAAGTAAAAAAGATAAGATAGGAAAATGTAAGGAAAGAAAATAAAAGGCCAGCATCTTTTATCAGATATACATTCCAGAATGCAAGAGTTGACAAATGAAAATGAGTAAAGGAAATTTAGAAAAACCCCCAGGAGTGAACAATAGTTTCCAGACTCTGAAACTAATCAGTGTTAGGTAACTTTAATAAACAAAACATACCAAACACCAAGATTTCATGTTATAAAATTATTTTTAAATATAGTGGGAAAGAGATTCTACAAGATTCCCACATATAGCAATGCAACACACACATCGAAACACAAACAAAACAGAGAAAAACATCTTAAGAAGTGAATGGAATCACTTTCAAATCACTTCCTTTGGTAATTTGTCCTTGCTAACATAAATTATTCCCCACCCATGCCCATGAAAGCAACCCGAATTAAATGCTGTGGATACAAAAATAGAGACATTAAAGTAGGAAAAAGACTAGGCAAGAAGACAAGAAATATTTCCAGCAGCAGAAAGGACTAAGATGATAATGATAGTGGGGGAGAGGTGACTGACTAATGTGTAACATATATATGTGCATTTATGAAATTGTGAAAAAATATTTTTTAAGTATACATACATAGTTTAAATAAAAGTTTCCCTCCCAGAACCAAAGACAATCTAACAAAACCCCTAACACAAGGTCTGAGAATCCCTTTTTTGAGTTGTTAGGGTTATCCGGGAGACTCCCAGAACATTATAGTCTACTGTTACTACCTTGGGTTACCACCCAGAGGAAGGTAGGTCCCTATTGCTGAAGGTGTACCATGCACTTGAAACACAGGGTCCAGAGGCCCCTGAGCTAGAACTGGCCTGAATGCCTCCTCTCTGAGGAACAGCTTTCATGATAGTAGATGGTGCTGTGCAAGCTTCTGAAGGAGGAAACAAGGAACCAATAGTACTACCCGGTTATGACATCTATGAGCCACATCAACGACCAGCATAGCACATAACCTTAAGGATGCAGTACTGGCACACACAACTTGGTAGTAACAAACAGCTCTCTAATTGGACTTAAGACTCAGTTAACAAGAAGGTAATTATGTCTGGTACTAGAAACTCAGGGCTAGTTAGTGAAGCCAAGGATCTTGCAGTAGAACCTACAACCACCACTTTACAAAAAAACAGCATCATCCCTAATTACATTCTAAGTATGTGACTTTATATCCACAGATAAGTGTGGCACTCACGCCTCAAGTAACCTTCTCTTTGTAACAGATGAGGACCACTACAGAACACTACAACCAAACAGAACACAGTCGTGGAGCCCAGTCCCGATGGTTACACTTACAAAAGAACTGTGTCACTTAAGGCTCAGGAATCATTGCAGAAGAGGGGGAGGAAAAACTCTAAGAGACCAAAGATCTGGGAGTTTGTTCTAAGATTGCAATCCTAGTAATATCAGAAGCTACAACCATAAAATCTCATGAATATGACTGACTAAAGATGAGCTGAACAAGGGCAGCAACAATAGACATGCTAATATAGACAGGGGCAAGTGCAAGAGGCCTCAACCTCAACAAACAACTATGAACAAGTGAAAATGCTGAAAATGAGAAAAATAGTCTTCCCCAGGTAAGAGCTCAACAATTGCTTATCCAATACCAAATGGTCAGCCCTGAAATACCATACAGACTGAGCATGAGGTATTTGTATATTTAGGAACACACACATATATATCAATCAGTGAAAAAGATGCCATGAATTTGAAAGAGATCAAGGAGGGCTATATGGGAGTTCGGATATAGGAATGGGAAGGGAGAAATACTATTAAAATCTCAAAATCAATAATTTAAAAACACACCACAAAATACATTTTGAAAAACAATCTTTCAAGCCAGACATGACTAGAATACTTCTGTAATTTTAGTCTTGGAAAATGGAGTTAACAAGATAGGAAGTTCAGAGCAAGCCTTAGCTTCACAGGGTGTCTGAAATCAGCTTGGGCTGTTAAGAGACCATATTGATCAGCTGATTGGTAGGTAGATAGGTAGGTGGATGGATAAATAAATAGATAATCTGCTTAGCAAGTGTGTAACCTAACACATATTTTATGCATCTGACTTTCTAGCTTAACCTCTTGGGGAGGATTACCTTGTGCCATTAAACGAGGTGATTTTCTTGGTGATCTCACTGAATTGTCTTCTACTCTGTCCCTCAAATTCCTGTTAGGTAAAATCAATTCTTCTTCATCAATGGTATCATTACCACTTTCTTTAACAACTCCTTCATCCATAATATCGTCAAGACCAACAACTAGAAAGAGACAAAAACAAAAATTAATTTTAAAAATATTGGGTGTGTTATAAATTTAAAATCAGTACAATGGGGAAAATCAAAGTATTTTAATCTGATACTGAATAGTCATAAAAATCTAAGCCTATTGATAATCTATGTGATACTGTTACTAGCAAGCACCCACAATTCCATTTGACAAGTGTCTACCTGTGAGGTAATTATTCAGAGAATTAGCAAAAACCTTTTCCAATTTGAGCTCAACTACTGCTCTATTATCATCTGCTTGCCCCTTGAGACTGTCATAGGCAACTATACCTGGAATACTCAATTATCTCAATTCTACTTAGGTAGTAAAAAAGTGTTCTATCTTGAGACGTTATGCTGCATAAGTGAGAATGATACAGGTAACTTAAAGATGGTTAAGTAATAAGGAAGGAAGAGCAGACAGAAAAAGAAAATGAAAGCTGTACTCCCTTTCCAATGGAGAGGAAAGCAGTGGGTATTTGTAGTTCAACAATTAAATTACTTTCCCCTAACCAATAAGACAAAGTCATTTACTCAGGAGAGGATGGAAAAGGTCTGGGGTCACTAAAGAAAATATTAACAGTATTCACATTGTTACTAAGTGTATTTCTGTACAGAACAAATGCCACCTTAACAAGTCAATGTGTATAAATAATCTTAAAACCACACTTGCTGAAATCTTGTACAAAGAATGTTTCTATTTTCATTAAATGGCTTGGATGTAAATTCCTGGCAAAACACGCACATGAAATGTGATTACGGCATTTAACCTGTCTGCTAGTTTCCTCTATCTCTGAAAGGAGAGTAACAGTACCTGTCCTACCTACCTCACAGGGTTGTTGTGAGGATCAAGTGGGATGATGTATGAAAACTCACTCTGTAAACTTTAGAGTACTATACAAATGTTAGTTATTATCTTCATCCTAGGGGTTAGAAGGAACCTCAAGAGGTTATCTAGTCCTCATCTTTGTATCCAAGTAGAAGAACTTCATTTAAAAGAGCTCAACAAGATAGTGGTCTATCCTAAAATTTAAAGAGAACAAAATTCTTAATAAATATACTTTCAAATAACACAATCTTTTTGAAGAGCAATTCAGCAATGAATAGATTCACAAAACTGCTTCAACCCTTTCCCCAAAAACCACAAAAGAAAAAAAAAAGAGGAAAAGAATGAGTTGAGAAGAAAATGTTGGCCAGAAAACATCTAATCTTTGTTCAAGAAGTCTTATAGACGAAATGCATAACCATACACATTTAGACAGGGAAAAAAGACTGACAAGATACAGATGAAAATATAACAATGGTAGTATTAATTCTTCTCTATCAAAGGTAAGGCTTTACCTTTAATCTAATCCAATTATCTTAATACAAAGCATGCATTACAGAATGTAACACAGATTGCTAGCACCAATTATCTCTAACAGTTAAGGTGGATAAGGAATAGTTGATAGTCTAGTTTCTTAATCTTTCCTATACTTTCTGTCAGCAAATGTCTACAGTAAGCACATGCCTTATATTGCAATCAGGAGGAAAAAAAGGGAGGGGAACAATCTGGAAAAGTAAAACTGTCCATAAGAAAAGGCTAATACCGGTTGGGGAGATTTAGTAACTCAAATCCAAAGGCGAATTAATGAGTTTTACATATTGTGAATGTGTATGTAAATACCATAGCACAAAAGTGTGTGGGTCAGAAGGCAACTTACAGCAATTCATTCTCTCAACCCACAATTTAAGTGCCTGGGATTTTAAACTGAGGTCTTCGGGCTTGGCAGCAAGAACCCCTATTTGCCATTTCTCACTGGCCTTAATCTGCAGTTTTTTGAGACAGGTTGCATATAATCCTTTTGAAAAGCCATTAACAGTACCTCCCTTGCTACATTTGTCTCCTTACCTACTTACTATACTAATAAAAAATGCTTAACTCAGCAAGTCTTTCAGCTAGAGTTAAATGTGATGATGAAACTGAAAGGGGATACAAAGGTAAGTATATTTATCAGCATTACTTATATCCCTATTTATATTTAGGAACATAATAGTAAGAAAAAAATCTAATTTACTACGAAGAAGTTAATTTGATGTATGTTATGTACAATTTGATAAAGCCAAACTGGCATGTTCATACATATCTCACTGAGAGAGACTTCTGTCTCAAAAACAAGATTAATGGCTCCTGAAGGATAACAATGAGGGTGATCTTGGGCCTCTACACACATAAACAAGCATACTTGAGAGCTGAATCACAAAGGTTTTAATTTCTTTAAATTAGGGAATCAAGTGACATACCACAAGGTAAGTATAAATAGAAGAACTTGTTTAAAATGTGAAGCATAAATACAAACAAATAATCTGGAAAAATAAAAATATCTGAGTGAGACATATGAACCAGACAACAAGTAAAAAAATATTCCAGAAAAGCAGGTCAATTAAATTAAATGTCATTGACAGATGAAAGAAAAGATAAATGACAGCTACTAGTGTGACCTTAAGGAGTGGTAATAGTGATCTAGACTCAAAGGAGAAATATTTTGATAAAAGGGACAGAAAAGTGAAATATAGATGTTGAAACAAAAATAAATTCAAAATAACATATATTGACAATGAAATTCAATAGTAGAGGCCTCACACTTCAGTTCTTCCAAGTATAGAAAGGGAAAAGAAAAGACAGGTATATTCTATATCATATAACTGCAAACCATCTTTATGGAAAATATGGAAAAATCTAATTTCAAAATACCATCTTAAAACAAATTTCATGAAATGAATATCTAAATATAAAACACCACAAGAAAAGCTAACAATGAACCAAAGGGCATTTTTTAGCTTACTAAACATGAAACTGAGGAATATACAAAAATACACATTGAAATTTTTCATTTCAGTTTGTACCTCCCCCATGCTTCTAAAAACATGCATGCAAGAGACACATGTATTCATGGGTCAATTCTAGGATGCCTAATGATGGGATAAACACAGTCTTTTAGAGAGGGATGTAGGGAATACTTAAAGGCTCCTTCATTTTATTTTTATTATTCAGGCTTTTCTTTTCTGCTAAGATAGATCATGTGGAGATCAATGTACTAATTCATTTGAACAGCCTCCCTGTTATAATGCTAACTCACAAGTAAAAAGTTGTAAATTATTATAAAAATATAACAACTCTAGGCATGACAAATTAATTTACAGCAAATTACCTTAAATGAATGAGTTAACAAACCACCTCTTTCCATATGCTTTTGTTACAATGTACTTTACTTGGCCATGATCTTCAAAAAGCTGACCACTACATGTTTCCCTGAATACGGCTACTATTTATTGTTTCTTGTTTTGGTATGTGTATGCACACCTGTGCGCAGAGGCCAGAAAAAAAGGTCAGCAGTTTTATCTTCCTTATGCTTTTTTACATTATTATGGAGCCAGTGTTTCTCATTGAAGATGGAGATAGCCAAAACAACCAGTTTCTCTACAATGGCAGGACTGCAAGTCCTGGGGATCCTTTTTTCTCTGTCTTCTCAGAACCTGGGTTATTGGTGCACAGCATTGCAGCCAGCTTTTTTAAAAGTTTGCCCTATCTACCTACCTACCTACCTACCTACCTACCTACCTACCTACCTACCATCTATTGATCTATCATCCATCCGTCTATCAATCTACTTATCATCCATCTATCATTTACCTACCTACCTACCTACCTACCTACCTGTTTGTGTACTAGAGGTGATGACCATGTGTATTGCCTGGCCCACATATGGAGATCTAAAGACAATTTGCAGTGACCTATTCTCTCTTCCTAATAATGTGGCTTTCAGGGATCAAACACAAGCAATCAGCATTGGTATCAAGCATCTTTAAGCTCTGAGCTTCCTCACCAGCCCAACCCAGCTTTTTTTATTTATTTATTTATTTATTGAAGATTTCTGTCTCTTCCCTGCCACTGCCTCCCATTTCCCTCCCCCCAAAAAGCCCCCCCCCCTTCTGCCCAAAGATCAATCAGGGTCCCTGCCCTGTGGGAAGTCCAAGGACCACCCACCTCCATCCAGGTCTAGTAAGGTGAGCATCCAAACTGCCTAGGCTCCCACAAAGCCAGTACGTGCAGTAGGATCAAAAACCCATTGCCATTGTTCTTGAGTTCTCAGTAGTCCTCATTGTCCGCTATGTTCAGCAAGTCCGGTTTTATCCCAGGCTTTTTCAGACCCGGTCCAGCTGGCCTTGGTGAGTTCCCAATAGATCAGCCCCATTCTCTCAGTGTGTGGGCGCACCCCTCGCTGTCCTGAGTTCCTTGCTCGCGCTCTCTCTCTTGCTCCTCCAACCCAGCTTTTTATGTAAATTCTGTGGATCTGTGGTGGTTTGAATGAGAAAGGTTCCCATAAGCTCCTGTACTTGAGGATTTGGTTTCCAGAAGATGGTGCGACTTGGATGTGTTTTGGAGGGGTGGCCTGCTAATGGAAGTATGTCACCCAAAGCAGGTTTTGAAGCGTTTTAGACTCTGGCCATGTCCAGCTTGCTCTGCTCTGTGTTTATGTTTGAAGGTTGAAATCTCAACTTCTGTGCTTGCCACTACCCTAACATGATCTATCCTTATTGCCCTGGAACTCAATAAACTCTTCCTTCTGTAAATTGCTTAGGTCATGGTGCTTTACCATAGAGACAGAAAAATAACAGGATCAAAAATACTGAGTCAGTCAGGTTCTCATGCTTGCAGGGCACACTACCAAATGACACACTTCCACAGCCTCCAAACATTCTTTTTAATAGAACACACTCATATAATCTGTCTTTCACTATGTAAGAAAAAACTAGACTTTTGCAGGTAGCAAACCAGCCACAAAAACTTTTGACTTAGTTTGTCCTGCCTGCAGTGTCCTGGGATCGGAGCCTAGCAGAATTATCAGAGACCAGAGAAACTTCATCCACAACTGATGGGAGCAGACGCAGAGTCCCACAGTCAAATATTAGGCAGTGTGGGGAGTCCTACAGAGAAGGAAGAGGAGGGATCG